GGCTGGTTTTCTGGCTGTCGTTGCCTTCATTCACTGTGTGTGTGTGTGTGTGTGTGTGTGTGTGTGTGTGTGTGTGTGTGTGTGTGTGTGTGTGTGTGTGTGTGTGTGTGTGTGTGTGTGTGTGTGTATGTATATATATATATATATACATATATATATATATATATATATATACATATATGAACACTCAAAAAAGAAAGAGAAGCCCCACCTCGTCTGCGATGCACTGACGCGCGCTTATCTTTCACGCGTATGTTGCCCCACGGATTGGGGGGAGGGGGATATATGGGGGGTTTAGATGCTTGTGCGCGTGCACTTATCCTTTGGTGGAAAGAATCGTGTGCCTTTGGCTTTTACCGGAGCGATTGCGTTAGTTGCCAGGCCCACAAAGGTCACTTCTGTATCTGCAAAGGTCCCGTTTGCGAAAAGAGTACGCTTTTCATACACAGCGAGGTATAACAACTGGGACACTTGTTAGTTTGCACTCATTAGTACCTGTGATTACGTATCGTGCATCGTTTTTGTTTAAACAGTGCGTTACGTGTCAAGCGGTAAATGTTGTAGTTTGCTCTTGTCCTGTGTGTATCATTTTCAAGTGGCATCTGTGCGAGAGCAGCGCGCTGCACGTAAATATCCGCTTGCCATTCTCAGCGTGACACTCCAAGTTGTTGCTGTCGCATTCATTGCTTGGCCCTTACGGCAAAACTGTGACTTTTTTTTTTATGTATTTATGGCATTTATTCTACCGCTGCACGCCCTCAGAGCTCGTAGATCGCTATCGCGTTGTCGCGACGGTGGTTTTGTGCACAATGGTTGCGGCAAACGGTAGTTCTTTTTACAATCCTCGTGAGGACTAAGTCATTTTATGCAATCCAAGGTCGCATGTGCCGAAGTTCTGTCCGCAGAGTTTGCGGAAAGCAACGTTGATTTGACTGGTTGTGCGCACACTTTCAGGGTTCTGTCAGTTACGTCGTAGCCATTCATGATCGTGTCAACAGCGACTGCTGTTTCGTCTACAACAGTTGTGGCAACGACAATCACACGCACAGTAGAAGGCAGTGCACGTGCCGGTTGCATGTGTACTTCCAAAGCTTCGAGTACGCTGCTCTTGGCCTTTGTTTGACGGTTTCCGTACTAAAGTTCATATCACACGCCGCGATTAGGAAATGTGCTTGGAGCATTCGAATTTAGGCCCAATGAACATAGTGGAATTTGGCCAGAGATTCTCACAAATTCGTATCTGCCGCGGTTTCCGATCGCTGATATTCTACAGTACGTTAAGATGAACGCCTCTTAAACTCATTTATAATAAAATAGGGTAGGCTCGAAAAGCATGGAGCAGATTGAGCTGCTTTTTTCCCAATGCTGGCCAGATCACGTGCAGAAATTTTGATTTCCGGGATATTTTCATGACAACCGTACAAATGAAAGAAACAGTCGAAATCCGGGAATCTCTCAGCCAATCCGGCAGACTTGGCTGGTATGCTGCACTCCCCATTCAATATTGCGAGCTATCCACGATACGGCCCAAAAATAATTTGAAATAAAGAGAAATATATACATGGGACGTATAGAAGAACGTTTGGTGCCGTGGAAAATTTCGACTTAGCAGATTTTTTCGAGATACTGTGCAAGTTCGAGTTAACGAGGCATTACTGTACATGCACCTTTATACCAAGTGCTAATGTACGCAGATAAGTTACAGGTAGCACCACATTTTGGTGGCAGCTTAACACAAAGGCTAACTGTGGTAACCTCTACAATTGCTGTGACCCATATCTTTCCATTTCCACTTGATCTCACAATAAGTTGCGCATAGCCTTCCTGCTGCTCTGTTAGTGCTCAGGGCATGTCCAGATGTATCAGCCATTTGATCAATGCTGCCGATCTGGCCAAACTGCAAGTTCCCCGACTTTCGCAGACAAATCACATGCCGCTAAAAGGTTGCGAATCACTCTTTGTAGATTCCTGGCAGTTTCTGTGATAGCAATGCGCACTGAAACAAAGAAAATTCAGGGTGGTGCATAAAATATGACAACTGGCATTCGCTTGCCTTGACGTCTGCCTTTTGAATGCCCTTTTTTTCCTATTGTCTTTGCCTTAGCTGATAGCATCTCAGTATAAATTATCAGATGTGTAGCTTGCTGCTGCTCTCAAATGAAGTCTGTCAGTTCACATTTAAGTTCAGTAAACAGCCATCTGTTTGGCTCCCCAAAAGCTTCTTCTCAGGCACTTTTGCGCACAAAGAGGGCTTCTGTCTGTTTTCTCAACCTGTGAGTACTGTGCTCACTCAGTACAAACAGCCCCCTTGCAACACAGATGCCAAGGTTCTCAGCAGCTACAATCTCTTTTCTTAGAATAGCCAAGTACTCCTGTAGTGGTGCTGACACGGTCTAAGCATCCAAAGTATAAAAGAGGAGACAGCTGTTTTACGATACTATTAGGATTTTCAGAAGTGAGCACAAGAGAATATTCAAAATTCAAAACCAGCTGGGAGAAATTTCAGCCTAATACAATGGTATAAAATTCCCCAGCCAAATCCTATTGCGTCCAATGAGCCACAATCCAAACGTTCCAAACACTTCTCTGCGTCAGAACTGGCGACACGAAGTTTGGTACAACCGTTGTGCAACGGCCCACAGTAGCATGCTCCGGGAGCTGGAAGCACGCGTGAAGAGCACACATGTACTGTAAACAGAACTACGGCAGACTCTCGGTAAATGGAAATCTGTTTAACGGAACTTCTGCTTAAATGTAACAAATGCTTCTGACAAGATTGGCTTCGTTCTTGCATTGTGCACCTCTGTTCATCTCTCAGTAAACAGAACTCCTGTTAAGCAGAGCACATTTTACAGGTCCCTTCAGGTTCCATTTAATGAGAGTCTACTGTACTATTAAGCACAATCGCTGCATACTCAACCACAGTCGTTATTGCTGCGATGATCGATAGCGAATACCCCGCTCCAAAGCTAACACACCAGCACATTAGAGGTAATTAAAGTCATAAACATTTTGGTATTCCCATCGTTTGCTTAGAATGTGGTGGAGCAGGCAGCACTTAGCTTTCAAAGCGAGGCTCTCACGTGTGTGAATTCATGGCAGCCTGCTTCGCCGTTCGTTCACGTGCGTCCCAGGATCACATGCCAGAGTTGTTCCGGTCGCAATACATATCAAGTATAACGTGGTTTGAAAACAGACTTTGCAGGCTTTTTGATGTACCAAATTCAGGGCGATAACAAATGCAGATGACACCATTGTGTATGCGAAGATAAGCTCCACTGACAATCAGCTGGAGCTTGATAACCATTTACAAAAAATTTGTCTTTGGTGCGACGAATGGCAAATGGAACTGAATGCATCAAAAACTCTCTTCGTGCGCATGACACGTAAAAAAGACCCGTTATCCTTTTCTTACAGCATTAAAGGCACAGTTCTGACTGAAGTAAACAGTGTTAAGTATCTAGGTGTTCATCTTACACATGAACTGAACTGGTCCATGCATGTTGACAGTGTTTGCAATAAAGCCATGCGTAAACTTTGCTCGTTACGACAAAAACTTAACGATGCCACCCCTGAAGCTAAAACAATGGCGTATAAAATGACTATTCTTCCAGTACTGACCTACGCAAGTCATCTATGGGAACCATACACCAAAAAAAATGCACTAAAATGTGAGCGTATACAAAACAAAGCCTTACGATTCATCTTCAACTCCTATTCCAGCACTCAGTCTATTAGTGAGCTTAGAGACAGAGCCGGTTTAATGACAGTGAAACGAAAAATGCAACATAATCAACTGATATTCTTTTTTCAGATACTCAATAGAGACTACAAAGTTCAATGGAGACTACAAGTTCACTCGCGACGTAACATAAAGGAACACATCGCACTACAGCCATTTACCACATCCAGAACAAAACACTCGAAACATATCACACCACTTAGCTACAGAACAGATTTATTCAAGTATTCGTTTTCGGTTCGGAGGATCGATGACTGGAATCAATTACCTCAATACATAGTCGAACATTGCGATTTACAAAGGTTCGAAAAGGCTTTGTCGGAATATTTGCAACCAAATTGCTTGTTCCTTGTCGGTTGAATATGTTCAATGTACTATATCAATATGTTCAATATGTACTATATTACTTCAAATTTTTTTTCTCTTTTTGGTGACGTGTACGAGATGTATTCGAACATGTTTCTTCTATCCGTGACCTATGCGGGAAGTATTCTGATATAGTTTTGCATTTTTGTTTTTGTTATTTCCATATAGTGTGCGTCTTGAGCATACAGTGTGAAACTTGTTTCCACATATGTTCTTTGTACGTGCCAGATATGTAACCCCAACTCCTGTCTTGGCCCTTGGGCTGACAGTATGAATAAATAATAAATAATAATAAAATAATAAAATGTTATTGCTTTCCCTTGAGATTTGTGTCCTCGAGATTTTAACTGTACCACATGACGACAATATCCCTGATAATACCAGTTAGAAATTCCTAGAAGAAAGGCACTGTCAAGTGATAGTCACTTTTGACTTTATCCTTTTGACTTCCCCAATTCTGCATGCAGGCCTCTCCTCCTCCCCAACCCCTATTTGTGCAATTGTCTTTTCCTCCTTTTTTATTTGTGTTGGACAAGAGGGTACGACACATGCACATACGTGCATGAACTGAAGTAGGCAGTGGCAGCCTTGACAAAGAGAAGTCCGCTTGTCGTAACGTTGGCTTCAGCGACACCCTGTGTTCCCAAAGTTTTTAGCTCTTCAGGTTCCATCTTTCCCTGCACTTCTGCTGTTCTTAGATATACAATTTCTAGAGTCACTTAATACTGAGCAGCAGTGTTCTTTATATACAGCGCAGCACTACAATTTGCTTTCTTTATATGAAAGGTAGTGTCAGAGAGAGGAACATCCTAGATATACTGCAGCACACCAAAAACACTGGTTACACCTCCCATAACTTTTACACCCAAAACGAAATATGAGCAGCACTCACTCTTTGGCGAAAGCTCTCCGAACGCCCGACAGCAGTGGCAGAGTTCTTGCGGGCAGCCCTGCATAACAATAGTGTCCATCCTTCTGTTATCAAATAAAATAATTTCAAATAAAACACATGATGACAATGTGGTGTCAACATATTTTGTACAAGGTATAGTAAGTGTTCTGGCATGGTACAAAATCATCATCATCATCATCAGCCTGACTGCGTCCACTGCAGGACAAAGGCCTCTCTTATGTTCCGCCAGTTAACCCGGTCCTGTGCTTGCTGCTGCTAATTTACACCCGCAAATTTCTTAATCTCATCTGCCCACCATAAAAGTTTCCTAAAAAAAAAACTTTCAAAAACGCATATTGTACACAATTTCACGTGACGGTAAGAATTCATGAAACAGCTAAATGTGGGAATGAAATATTCTTACTAAGAGCCTCATATTAGCTATATATGCACATTTGGGATATCAGAAGTCATTTAAACAATACGCACACCACTGCTAGCACCACCATAACCAGTAAAGTAGACCTTACCAGACAGCTATAATTCTGAATTCATCATTGCTGCCATCACCTGCAGTTAAGGCTGCTTGCATAAACGCAAATTGGCATGTCCAAAGTGTGAAGACTGTAAGACTGCACTATTTGCCTCACGCATAAGCATTTTAAAATGTGTCGTTTGAAACATGTGTGGATAGGAATAAAATCAAAGGGGGGCTTGAATTGATCTCTTTTGAAACTTGGCTAATGACTCCAGCTACAGTTAATGGACACTGCCTTCATTCAAGAAAATGAACATGCGAGCACATGGCCTGTGCTTTGTGGCGGCTGCCTATACAGTGCCACCAACAAACAGCCAAATAAAGCACGTCTGCTGTTTGAGTCATCTATCGGCAAACCAAATAATTCGTCAAGGCTGGCGGACAACCACTGCTTGATCGCGCAATGAACAAGGCTTGCAGCACGTCGACTTCTGCCAACAAAACGGGCACGGTGCATGAGCACAGTCGAAACGGAGAATCTGTCGCTTAGCTTACTCGCTCCGCTTACAAGAGTTCCACATTTTCAAGAGTACAGATACAACATTGATTGAAATGCTTACTAACAAGTGGAGCATTATTTACTTCATATTTTCTTACATAGCCACATCTTCATTGTGATCATGGCCAGAGTAATTTGACTGCACATGATGCTACAGCATCAAAAGTGGATAAACAAAACAACACAGTCGTATTACTAGGGGCAAACCAAAATTCTGCCTTAAAAAAAATTTTCACAGAACTCATCTGACACACTTTTGTAAAAGAAAACCACTACCAAACCTTCACATAAGTTAAGAGACTGAGCGTCTTTGTTTACACCATGCTCAACAACTAAGTTTCATTTGTTCGCAGCAGTCAGCGTGCTGAAGGCCTTGCACATCACACAAGTGAAGAGGGAGTCAGGTTAAGCAGTGCTTGTCCATCAGCCCCTGACTTGTAATTTTGTATGCCAACAGATGACACCAGTAGCGATGACTAAGCTTGTGCGAATATTTCAATGTTTGAATATATGAATGAATATTACAGTATTCATATTTGCTTAGATTCGAATTTAAATTATTGAAAATTTGGCAGTGTTTGAGATGAAATAAATTTAAATTAATGCACATGTAACCCCTCTAAAGTTGGTTCCATTGCAGTGGAGGGGTGCTAAGCAGTGAAAGCGCCCATTTCAATGTAAAATGTAATTGCATAAAACTCTTTGCTAAAGATGGTTTTCTAGCAGTAAAAGAGTGCTATGCCGTGAAAATGCATACCCAAAATAAGTCCAACTGCCTGCAAAACTATACCGTATTCACTTGCATAATCCTCACACTTTTTTTTGCCGGAAAACTGATGCAAAGTTGGGGGTGCGAGAATTACACGGGGAAAACTTCCACGAAAACGTACAGAGTGAAAAAGAAAACGAAGTGGCCGCAAATTGGGATTCTCACACCAGCAACTACAGCAAGTATATAGAAGTACTAATTAGATTTTACCTCAACAATAAAATCAGAGGTTCAACACAAGGCAAGATTTATTTGAGGCACAAAAACGTGCAAGCAAATAGTCGAGAATTAGAATACCATACCAAAAGCTTGTGGGCGTTGCGGGCGTAGCGGTAGCGTTCGTCGCTCAACAGGAGCCCTCAAAAGGTAAGCGTAGGACGTCAGTATTGGGCTGATGGCTATTTAACAATCGTACGCAGTTTCCTTCTGAAGAAATGAAGTTTACCATCAATCCCAGTTTTAGGTGCCACGGCTGGCCCAACGCGTCTTGGTGGCTTTCAGCTGCCATCACCAGTAGCGAACACAAAATTCGTAGACTACGAAGGGCCTACCGGCGGCCCTGTCGCCGTCGTTTAGTACATGATCTATCACTTGCAACTTGAAGCAGCCGTGTAGCTTCAATATCACCCCATAACGTGCCAAGATTGCCGACACAGCATACAAAACACGCAGCAACGCACATTGGCCAATTCGGCTTAGCTTGGATTGGATTGAATCTGCGTGCAATAGTACGCTTGATGCTTAAGAGATGGCGCCAGATGGCGCGCACTATCATCATCAGTGGCTGGAACGAGCAGATTACTGCGGCTGTTTTCGGGGATGGGATAATTACTAGATGGATGAATGGATAAAAAAACTTTTATTGGGGTCCTGAAGGATTCCACCCCCGTTTTATAAGGGTAGGATCGCGGGCCGCTCCCACGTTGGGACGGGGAGGCCCAGCCTCACCGCCGCATCGTGGGCCTTCTGGACAGCCTTGAGTTGTTGTATGAAAACTGGACTCGTGAGCATTAAATGAAAGGAGTTCTCAGAAAATTCTTCATTTTTTCTTTGTAAAGAGGGGCACCTCCAGAGCATGTGGTTAAAATCACTGTGATTCTGGCAGTCCGGACAAAGTTCTGAAATATCGGAGTAATGGCTATAGGTTACGAGGCTAGGGTATGTTCCCGTCTGAAGCATATGAAGAGAGATTGCCTGTGGCCTAGACAACTTTTCGTGTGGCAATGGAAATGACCTACGGCCTAATCGATAATGCTTCGTGATCTCGTTGAAGGTAGTCAAAATGTCCCTAAAATGAAGGCTGGTGGCTGACTCCTCTGTCTGAGAAGCACAAGTCCCGGCGCGGTAAGTGAAGCCTCGCACCTTGGAGTGGGCTAGCTCGTTGACATTGGGAAGGCCTCCGACCCTCAAGCCAAGGTGAGCAGGGAACCAAATAATTGTGTGAGAAAAAAAAGAAATCGTATTTTTCTTGGGCGATGTGGGGGGTGCGAGAATTATGCGAGTGCAAGGATTACGCGAGTAAATACGGTACTTGAAGGTTAACAATCCTCACATCAATTTATCTAATTTCAAGTTTAAAATTTTGTTGATACAGGCTTATGTGATTGAAGAATAATAAGTTTTAAAATGAAAATATTTTACAGGTTATCGCTTGCATTCTCCAGAAAGTAAAATTCTGCTACTATTTAAAGTTGTTCTCACTTTTTTGAACAAGAAAATACACATACAGGCCTTGTTTCTAATTAAAGAAAGCACTGTGCAGATTAGTTAGGTCACGACAAATACACCCATTTTTTTACAACATGTAACATACAGTATTTAAATTTAATTTGAAATTATTCAAACAAAGTCACTATTAGCTTCTAATTCGCTTTGAACCTAAAATTCACTATTCGCACAAGCCTAGCAATGACACCACAGATGACAACAAAAGCGACGTGCTTGCTCGCCGGCAGGATTTCGAGGTAGTCACCTTACAAACCGCTTTTTGTCTTAGGCAAGTGGTACGCGGGCCCATGGAGTTCTTCTATGGGGCGCTAAACTGGACTAAATAAGTACCATGTTACAGCCAGTCCTGTACTGCAAGGGGTGGCGTTATAAGTGATCTGAGCTGTACATCGTATCCTCTAAGATAGGCAACATATGGAGAATTGAGTTGAAGTTCACCTACTTGAAAGCTCACTGAACACAACTGAGAAGCTCTCGCAGGGATGAGATCCAGTTCTGTTTTTAGTTCATAAACACTTGCACAGCAGCCATCATCATCAAAGGTCAGTGGCAAAGCAGGGTTTGTGAGACTCCCATAGTAACTTACCCTCTGTCAAGCAGCTCTGCAGCACCACCCATCACGGAGGCTTCACACTCATCACCGGTCTCTGGACGGCTCCGATCTGCACCAATGATTGCATCCCTTTGCATTAGCCTCTCCACAAGTGCCATGACGAAAGACTGTTCCATGATAGAATGAACTACAGTAGACTCGGGACATTTCATACTTTTGGACAACTTAAATTTCAAATTTTTTGTTTGCCCAATATACTTTTATATTTTACAGTCACCCAATTCCATATTATGTGAACTTGAATTGCACTTGGGACGAGATATGAGAGTAGAAGTAGATGGGAAGAACGCAAATTAACTTCTGCTGTAATGTCTCGTCTCAAGCCCCATCTATACATGCACGTAATAAAAGCCCAACCATATGCACGCGATTTTCAAGCGACGGGATTTGCTGTCGCAGAGGACCACCCATCGCTGTCACTTATCGCATCACAGGTTTCTAAAAAAAACAGGAAAAATTACTTGTAGACTGCAAGTGAGACTGACGATTTCCAGCAACATGAGAGCACTCCTGATCCTTGCCTCAGCTGCAATTTGCTCTTGGCTTGTTAAGTATACATACTTCAAGGAATGCAAGATATAAATTGCTTTTCTTACAGTGACGTCCCACGCGGAGAGAGTGGCAGGGGTCGTATTTTGTCGTTCGTCATGTTATAGACAGTTTGCTTTGATGTTTTGCCAGTAGCTTGCTGCAATATGAACATCCTCATAGTGTGAGTTTGCAAAATGCATCATAGCATCTTTGCATACGCCTCTGGGCACACCTCCAGGTCGCAGCAGATAATACTGTCGTGGTTAAACAAAAGATTGCACAAGACGAATGTCGCATCACGCTTTTATGGCTCCCTCATCTCACACAAGGCAATAATATGTTTGCCATCTACTTTTCAATTCTTTTTCACAATTTACCAGCGTACCCGTGATGTGTTCAATCGAGCAATAGTGATACCTAGCTGCACATACTATTGGCAATGTTGTGATCATTGCGATGCAACAGAGCCCATTTGTCGCCGTCACTCGTCCCCGTTGCTGTAAAATCGCGTGCATGTGGTTGGGCCTTAATGTCGTACCAACTAGCTTCTAAACACATGCTCCTTGAGTTCACTTAATTCAAACTGCTTCATCGCCTTAATTAGATTAATTCACACTTCTTGCGTACTTGTGCCAGAAAATATGTGCACTAACATTCCCACGTTGATCGAAGAAGAAAGAAGAAAAAAAAAAATTGATCGACTGACCTGAACCTATTATATGCTGAAGGCTCAAGTCGCTTTTGCCGCAGTACAGTGGTACGATGCAGAAAAGAGAATGAAGACTAGAAAGGAGCTTTAGCCGTTGCGCTGCAGAGGCATGCAATGTCGACAGTGTGCAGATCATGATATGCTCACCATTGTCCAGGGGTAGCGTGGTTTGGTCGAGGTTGCCGCTCCAGTCCTCCACAGAGTGCTGGGTGACTCGGCGAGTGTTCGGGCGGCGTGCCTTGGTCTTGATGCCCTCCATGAGGTTCAGACCAGACATGCGGTGATTCTTTTTGCCCTTCTTATGTGGAAGTGACAGCGAGCCAATGCACTGTTCCTCCACCACTCGCACACATGTTTTGTGGATATTCATCTCGCAGTCTGAAAATGACAACACAACAAAAAATGAAGGGCATCGAAAAGCCTCTTACATGTCTTTGTTCAAGTGAACTCTGAAAGTTGGTACACTAAAGCACAAAATCCTTCTACTGCTTCTGCAGTACTTTTTCTGGTTTGACAGTGGCAGTTACAGACCACTCCTTATTTTTTTAATTTTTGTCATTTTTATTCTTCCCAATTTATTAAAATTAGTCTATTTTGATTTATTGAAAATGAATTTGGAGGCAAAAATTGGAGAGCAAATGAGCCAGCCTTAGCAAAAAAAGTGTACTGTGTGGCTTGAGGCATTAGCTGTTTGGTTACATCACCTAACAATTAGTCACACAACATGCTTCCGCCTAAAAGATGTAACAAGCAGTCATTGACTGATATCACTAAGATCACATAACTACTAGTCACGTGACTAAAATCACGCAACATCCCATTAGGCAACTAAACTCAATTAGCATAATGCACACATCTAGTCACATGAAGTGTTGCCGCCAAAAACGTGTAACATAACAGGACGTTTAGTCATGTCACTGAAATTGTGAAACAACTAGTGACATGACTGAAATCATGTAAAATTGCGTAACAACTTACCACGAGGCAAATATCACGTATGATCGCACTGCTATCACACAATTTAAATCGCATATCATCTAGTCATGTGACTGAAATATTGAAGATGACGTAATGCTTAACTATGAGATCGAAGCTGCGTAGCATCACATCACATAGAATTTAGTCTAGTGACAAATTGTGTAACATCATGTAACATTTCGTCAAATGAATGAAATCCTGTAACTAGTCCTGCGACATGATCATGCAAAAAAAAAACATAACTAGTATTATGACTACAATCACTTAACTTAAAGGGACACTAAAGAGCAAAATAATTTTTGTGTATTAGCAAAGTACATTTCCATCATCCTGAAAATTCTACTCTTATTGCGAGACGACGCTTGGAAAACGAGCAAATGCGCGAGAAGAAAACGTGAGTGGAGACAGCACCTTCAGTTTCCCGCACCAAACCCTGCGACGTAGAAGATTCTGCCGGTATCTACTGGTTTCTACGTAGTTCCGAATTGGTGAAAATGAAGTACATTGTCATCTGTGAATGCCATAGACCTAACGTAAGAAGTTTCAGAAAATTTCATGGAGGTGATGTCGCGAAAATATGAAGAATACATTTAGAAGTTAGTGACGTCATGTACGGAGATTTCGGCCAGAAATTCAAAGAGCAAACTTTGACTTTGATTTTCTCGTCAAATAACTAACTTATGTTGGTGAAAGCTGACATCAAAGTTCTCGGAGTACGATTTATCAATATAAATCAAGTATTGTTTCACCTAATGTTAGACAGTCACATGACATGTTCCTGCCAAAAACATGAGAATTGTGTATTCTGGGGAACCGGAGAATAACATACCCAGCACTGCTAACAAAAATTAAACTTCTCTAGCAAACATTTAGCATAACTAGCAAAACTATTCTAAGTCAAACACTAGCTCCACTGTTGGTTCCAGCCTCGTGCCACTAGTGTAACTGCGCACCTTTTTTTTTCTTCTGTTAAAAAAAGTAAAAATAACATTGAACTGCTTTACAGAAGGCAACACCAAAGAAGCATTCACGAGAATTCAGAATTGATATCATAGAGCCTAACTGCGATTGCTATGACACAGAAGGCTTCAGCATTTCGGAGCTGTGTCCAAACAGGCACGCCTCGAAGTGGCCACATAACCATAAGCCTTTTTGCCATATAGCAATGAAACAGTGGAAGCAGCTCACTGGTGCACTGGTAGCCCTGGTCACCGACACCCCAGATGATGTGCTGGCAGTGGTTGCAGTAGGTGACGCGGTGGTACTGCTGTGACTGGAAGTGGTGGCCTCGCGTATGGATCGTCTGAAATGCAAACTGGCACACAAAAGAGCCCATTGCAAAATGGGAGACCATAATACACAGCGACAGAAACACCACCAGTGCAGTAAAATGTTTCACTGAAAGTGTCAGAAACATTTATTTTCAATGCAAACTAGGGAAGAAATTCCACTGGCTAGTAGTCTTTCAACTTGGCATAAAATTGCTTTGCACTTTTAGAACTGCATAACAATCTTTTTTCCACACACATCAACCACAAATATTACTACCATTGTAACATACCGTATTTGCTCGATTCTACCGCGCCCTCGATTGTAACGCGCACCCGATTTCCACCGCGAAAAAAAAAAAAAAAAACGTAAGACATCGATTGCAACGCGCACCCATTTTTCTCGCTGGCCCGCACGATCACACCACTCGAAAAGACGACTCCTTTCGGGAGCGTCTTCCATTTAAATATGAGGTACGGGCGAAGCTTGTGCCCATCTGACGTGTAACAGAGCATTGCCGTCACTGTAGTTTTACCGTGGACAGATGTCAGCACGCGAACTTGCTTCGCCCCCTTCTTCTCGACGGTTGTGGTGCCAGGCATGTCGAAGTAAAGAGGCGTCTGATCGGCATTCCCGATTTGCCCAAGCAGGTAGCCGTTGTTGCGCCGCAAGTTTAGGACGAACCTCTGAAAACTGTGAAGCTTTTCATCGTACTCCTCCGCAAAACTTTTCGCATATGCATGTTCCCCTTCGAAGGGAAAAGCCTTTCCTCTTCATAAAGTTAGTTATCCAGCACCTGCTCGCTTTAAACTGGCTCCGCATTAGACCTTTTTCTAAGACTAATTGCATAGCCCGCACTTGGAGCAGTTCTGTCGTCACGGGCCGCTGTGCCGCTCGCTGCTCAAGCACATACTCGCCGAGAAGCTCTTTAATTTGCGGAAACCGACCCTGCTGTGGTCCACTGAAGCCTTTGCGTGAAGCTTTGCTGTCGACAATCTTCTGCTTTTGTTTCCGCCGGTCCCGCACGCACGTTTCGGGAACTCCGAACGACCGCGATGCGGCCCGATTTCCGTCCGTTTCTGCACACGCGATGACTTTTCTTTTAAAAGCGGCATCGTGGTGCACTCGAGTTTTTGGAGTCGGCCCTTCCACGCCGTCGATGCTAATGCACTACTAGATGAGAAACTCCTCAGCACACGTACGAAGTGCCGCACATGGGAAACACATAGGCAGAAATGGCTGACGCGCCATGCCGACGCACGTAGGGGGCGGCCATTTTGGATTTGCCGATGGCAATAGATTGATCGTAATTTTTTTTGTTCGTACTCGATTCTAACGCGCATGCGATTTATGAACTCGCTTAACCGGAAAAAAGGGGCGCGTTAGATTCGAGTAATTACGGTAAGTTGCGTAGCTAATACTAGTAGTATATAAAAAGTAATTTATCTTTCCTAGTGCACTAATGAATGGAATATAATTCCTGCTTGGCTGCCTCGTGTTCATTGTTCATAAATAATCAACAGCGAAGGAAGCATCGATGGATCAGTTATAAGATACTTAAAAAATCTGTTTCCTTAAATTAGATCATGACACCTTTGAAAGCTGTTCTTGAATATGTTGAATGAAAGGTTATGTAACTCACTGTGGTAAATTACTGCACACTAAATTAAACAGCACCCTTGACATTTAAGTGAGGTGCTACATAAATGTACTCCAATCTCTCATAACTGAATCTAAGCCGCTGTTATCAGTCTCAAAAGTGGCAGTGTTTGATCACACAACATTTCGTACACTGCAAGTAGGTCCAGAAAACTATTGTCATCATAAATGAGTATGTGCCATGGAAATGGGGTAAATCCCACTACTCCCCGCTGGTGTACTAAGAATGAAGAAGGCTACAGTTAACACAACAAGTAGCTGATAACGTCAGTGGAGCTGATGGTTCTTAAGATGGACCATGACTCCATGACATACTGTGACACTAGATCCCGATGAGCTGAGATCCTCCACCATGTCATGACCACATCCCGATTAGCACGATTAGATCATAAATTTTGTCGACCTTGTGTCATGACGATGTCAAGATAGGATGACATCATCCCGTGATACAGTCTACATTACACACCATGACATCAGGAGACTCTAACAAGCCAAGCCCGTAAAGATTCACACCCTAAACGAAGCTGGGGACAGCAGAGAGTTTGGTGGGGTCATAAAATAAAGGAGTTGCGCATCATAAAACAGAATCGGCTCGCACAGGACAGGATGAATTGGAGATCATCGGGAGAGGCCTTCATCCAGAAGTGAACATAGAGCAGGGTGAAGATTATGATTGTCATAATTCTTACCAAGGACAGCGGCAAATCAACGAAGGAACACAATGACCCACCTTCTTATTGCGAGGAAAGAACTTCAGGCGTGACTTTTCACGGGCTACGAAGGTGGGAAACCGCTCAATGAGGGCCACTGCATTGGGTGTCTTGACACCAAAGCTCTTTAGCACTGTGGCCAGTGCAGACGCCAGGGCAGACTTGTAGTCCGATAGATTCTCTGGGTCCTCTTTCCTGCAAAAGTGCAACCAGCATTCACTGTATCAACTGCATACCACAATATACAGTCTCTTCAAAGCAAATATTATGTCATTAGGCCCACATCGCTTACAATTGCACCAGAACTTATGTACAGTCGGCTACAGAAAACAACAGATACCAACTGCATGATTTATTTTACACAAGCATTGGCAAAATGTGCAGGTCAGTGTCCCTCGGAGTTCCTTTTTGATTATCTTTTTATGTCTAAGACTCTAAACTTTGGCCCATCCCTAGTTCAAGAGGGAGTTACTCTAAAACAAAAGCTTTGTGGTGGAGCTAAGGGGCAACACTAAATACGGTGCATGTCTAAGCAGGTATGATTGCAAAGAAAGCAAGGAAAGGAGGGAGACTCACCCCAGCGTTTCAAGCTCCGTGAGGAGCAGGGACTCCACTATGTGCAGCTCAGCGTTTTTGTCCCTCAGCGAGTCATCCAGCGTCACGTCATTCGGCATGTACAACCCCGACAACCCTGAGGGAAACACACGACCGTGGGTACACAGTGAACACAAGTGTGTCCTTCAACCAGACCACCAACAGAATGTGGGACTGCATCGTACAGTTGCCCATCCCACTTCAAGAAAAATAGGTGGGCAAAGAATGAAGCGGATGGCACTACTTCTGGCCCCAGCCACTTTCATCTTATGTCCCTAGATCAGTCTTCCCAATTAAACATCATCCAGTTCAAGCTCGGTGCAATAAGCACTTGTGTGATGAACACTCGTGTAATGATAATGCCCAACTCAGTGACACAAAGTGAATTTAAAATTGTAAGGGCAACAGCATACAAAGATGTACAACAAGGTTCTCCTAACCACTTCTGCGAACAAACCCTTGTAATATCGGCACCACAGAACTGTAACCGCTGTAACCAAAAAGCTAAAAAAAAAAAGCAAACAGCAGCCAGAGACTCGCGTCCACAGAGACTGACCGCATTCTATCCTTTTCACTGCATGCCAGCATGCAATAAACATGGATTATTTTTGAGCATGGACAGCCTGCACTGCCGTCACTCGTGGACAACTTATACACATAAAAAAAAAAACGCAAGTTTGTCTGCAAGTTTTGACAGCAGTAGCTGACTTACATGTACTGATCTATATCTGCAGGTCCCTGCATAGTCTATTTCTACACTGTTCTCCTGCAATTGCCACTGCTTTCAGTGATTTCTGTTCGTGATGCCTACTTGTGCAGAGTTTGCCAAGTCAATGCTCCACCTCACAAGTTAAATGAGGTAGTAGTTGAAAGGCTGCTAGTAAACTTCTGCGACAGCTTCATTCTTTTGAAGCCGATATCGTGAGTGCAACAGGAGAACACGAAGGCTTTGTTTCTAGCCTAACACTACAGTGCAGTCCACTTATAACGATACCACATATAACGATATATCGGTTATAACGATGGGTCGACTTAACAGTCTCATTTTATGCATTGGGGCTATGGGGAAAAAAACCATATATAACGATATGTTATCCACCGCATATCGGATACAACGATGAAAAGTTTGCCGTGGACGGCATGTTTCATTCAGAATAATCGTAACATTTAGATTGATAAGTTCTTCTGAAACGAACTATGCCGAGACAAGACGAAAAGTTAGCGTAGGCGAGTACGTATCTGCCGCCACTGCAGGACAGCGCCGGCAGCGCGTCCCGGCCGTTCAAAAAGCCGAGGAGAGCATCGCGAGTTGGCGCGACGCGCTACAGATGGCGCCAGCTGTGTCACGTTTTGCGCCTCGCCGCGCGTCGACCGCGGAGAGGCCGAGAGAATTTAAAAAAAAAATGCGAAAAGCAAAGCGCCGCGCTCCGCGGCTCCCCGCCTTCTACAACGGCAAGCCGGCAAGCTACGAGTAGCTTGCCGAACGAAAGCGGGAAAGAGAGAGAAAATAAAAAAAGCGAAAAGCAAAGCGGCGCGGCGGCATCGGGGCGGGGCCTCGTTGGCATTCCGGCTGTGTACCTCTGGCTGTGCTTTCTTCCTCCCACTGCTCCCACCCCGCCGTCGGTCAGTCTCCCTTCCTCAGCGAACCCGTGATGCGTTCTTCGGAGTAAGAAATAGAGTCTTGTTTTTGACATCCTACTATCTACAATATTTATTAATTGGTGAAAATAGCAAAATGAAGCCTGGAGCTACAAAAGGTACGTCCGGCGACGATTTTTTGGCGGCAGTCCAGATATAACGATCACCGGTTATAACGATCATATTTTTAGGTTTTCTCGATATCGTTATAAGTGGACTGCACTGTACTGAATCCTATGATCAAACCAGTGAAAGCAGAAAATTCAAACTTTGTTTCAGCCAAGAATTACCTGAAATATGAGCATGAAATTCTGACTAAATAGGTTGCAGAAATAAAACAAGTGGCTCTTTGCAAAAAGCTTTGTAGCTCAGGAAAAAAAAGGGGGGGGGAAGCAATATTAGCATTTTTTGATTGACAACCACCAAAACAAGGCCTCGTTGGCGATGGAAGAAACTGACCAATGGTGCGGGTGTTCCTGAACTCGACCAGCAGGCGCTTGAGCTGCTCCATGGCCTTTTCTCGTGCCTTGAGGAAGATGTCCTTGAGTTCGTCTTCCTCCTGGCCCTGCTGTTCCTGGCTTGTCTGCAGAACTTTGTCTGCAAGGTGCACCACTGGTCCCACACCTTCTCCACAGCCAATCAACACACGTGCCCTGACTGAGGCTCCCAGCAAGAGCCACTATACTTAATTAATGTATAGCAGTGACATTCCTTTTGGGCACATTACAAACTGACATTTTGATAATCTGCACTTTGCCCAATAGCCCATGCACTAATTCAGCCAACACCAGTCAAGCATAAATTTTCTGCTATCATGAGTTACTCGCACATTTTCAATAGTGGGGTTCAACTGAACCAGTTTTCACCAACCGTCGTGTCAGTACAAAAGGGCAAGTTAAGTCCAGTGACAGAAGCCAATAGTTTGCCACCACATTTTAATGCACCCAGAATTTGTCTGTACAGTCAAATTCTGTTCATCTTTACTCAGACAGCATTGAAGAAATTAGTGTTGCAGAGGCTGAAAAATAAGAGAAGCAGAAATACCACAGAAATATTGCTGTATTTATTCGAATCTAGGCCGATGGTTTTTTCTGTTTTAATTTCTTTGCATTGAACTCCAGAGTCGGCTTAGATCCGAGGATTCTGAAAAACGAGTCATCTTTCATTGAGAAAAGTGGTGCACTAGCGCTACCTAGACAGTATTATAGCCGTTAGTAGCCAAGCCAACACCTGAATTTCAACAATCATTTGAATTTGATTGTTGAAAGTCTGCGCTCTTTTCTGTCCTCATTTCATTGCTTCTGTACTTACACTGTAACTACTTTCAAGTTGCGCTGTTCGTATATTCAGTTATATTTAGAATCTGGGTCGACCTAGATTCAAGTAACTACGGTAATGGTCTTAATTCAAAAGCGAAACTCAAATATGACTTTCTATAAGAAAAACGCAGTGCGCATCTAACTCAGACAATAAAAAAAAAGAACAGATAAGAAATAAAAGCAGATGCGGAGGTTCACTCATCTGCATATACCCTGCAGATTATAATAATATTTGGTGTTTCACGTCGCAAAACGACCATATGATTATGAGAGGCGCCGTACTGGAGGGCTCCGGAAATTTTGACTACCTGGTGTTCTTTAACGTCCATTGACATCGCACAGTAAACGAGCCTTTATCATTTCGCCTTCAACAAATACCCTGCAGATGAGTGAACTCTTGCTGCGAAAGGTAAAATGGGTGAATTTGTGAAGGCTTTGTTTTAGAGCAGCTTTATTTGCGCAATCGTACCCAACCGCATTTTAGGCCAAGCCTCGGCTCAATGCCAGCTCAAAAAGTCTTGCAGTCGCATACGCCGTCTATCCTCAGATGGCAACGCGCCCCTAAGGAAGCTTGCTTTGATGGTGGTACTAGATTACCTTCTACATGCCTGATATTATTTCCTCTAGGTGTCATTGTGAGAAACCCTATGCCCAAGAAAGAATAACACAAAATAATGCACGGCACAGTTACAGCAGACCATGCAAGCTGTGCATCAAGAAAATATTAGTTTCATTTTAAGTCAGGTCAAACAACATACCAATTTCCTTTAGTATGGTCTCGTCAATGTTCTCGATACCAAGAGGCTGCAAAACAAACAAACAAAAAATTAAGTGGCATAAATAATTTTTTGCCTTCCTTAAATCCCATTCTTGCTCTCTCATTGAGCCACACAGTTGTTGCTGTTAGGCTTGTTCTGTTAATATTTTAATTTGGCTTGTGGGAATTGAGGCTGGCCCGCTGCCTTTGAGCGGGCTTTCCCGCCTTTTCTGCCGTTCTCATGTCCCGACATGTCTGCCCTCCTTGCTGTCTGCCGCGCTGGGAAGGGCGGAGTGACGTTTAACTCCCCTCACCCGGAAGCGGATGTGGACTGTGGCGCCGCGCGCGGGGACTCGCAAGAGGTTTTCGCGCGCTGCGTCAGGAGCGGTGAGTACAGTCCGGGACTTCAAACGGTGAGCCACGCATTCTTTTCCGTCCGTCGAGTCCCGTCGCTCGGGGCTCGTCAGACTTCGCTGACGGCGCCTCGCGCCCGATGCGAACGCTCACCTTTTGTTGCCCCGCTGCGTACTCACGGCCGAAGGGCAGTACGGTGTCCTAGTGCGTGGCCTAGCTACGCCGACCCGTCTCCCTTCGAAGCCAACGCGAGCGCCTTTGCCCTCGCTCGAGCAACCGGGCCCTTTGTCCCGGTGTCTCCGTGGATCACCTTTACCGCGGAGACGTGCTCGTGGCACCCCTGTGTAGTACTTTGTGCCCGTGGCGTGGATAAGCCTACTTGCTTTCCCGCCGCGCCTATTTGCAACGGGCTGTACTGCGTTTGGTGTTGCCACAATAAAGTGTTGCGACTTGAGCAGTATCGTGTTTCCCGCCACGGCGACGGTTAACGCGTGCCCTGCGGCTCGCTAAGACCGAACCCACGCTGGTGGCAGTACTCCTTCGGGATACGTGTACACCACACTGGCGCCCAACGCGGTATCAAAAGCTCTAGCTTTTGATTGCTCTTAGCGAGTCAGTTCGCCTGCGCGATTCGGGCTCGTCGCAACATGGCTGCTTCGCGGGACTTTTGTCCGCTGTCCCTTTTAGCGGATGCCGCGTTGCACACGGAGGCCATTGCCTCTATTGACGGGAACCCTTCTGCACCCGTCCGTGTCGGCACCCCCTATTGCGGTGACGACACGGGGCGCCTAGCCGCTCCCTTTGGAGATGGCGCGTCGCTTCGGAATGGGCCTCTTGCCCTACCCGAACGTTATGTCTGCTTCGTGGCATGCCGCGTTGCACCAAGAGGCCACCGCCTCTATCGACGGGCGCGCTTCGGCGCTCGCCTGTGTCGTCACCCCTTTTTGTGGTGAATACACCGCTACGTGGTAGCTGACGCGCTATCTCGTGCCCCCTGTTGTCTGCCGAGAACCTGGATTTCGGTGCGACGGCCGCTCGCGGTGCCTTAGCACATGCAAGCGTCGGGGGCGAAACAGCAGCTTCGCCGCCATTCGGCGAGAAGGGTGAGTGAGTCCCCATGCGGACAAACCTTGGCTGCTAACCAGGTAAGCGGCGCACCGCGAAGCGGCCGAGCGGGGGAGCTTTCCGAAGGCCACGAGGCCGAGAGTGAACCCGTAACGCCGACTCACGCGGCGGTTGCTGCGGTCCTGAGTGGGCGCGATACCAGACTCCCCCATTTGGGAGAATGGGAATTGCTTTCGGCAGCGAAGAGCTACTGAAGGCTCAGCAGAGTGATCCGTTTCGAGTCTCGGAGGGACGGAGCGCCGTATACGCTGCTTGCTTTGCGGCGGGCGCCGTTAAACCGTCTTGACGAGGCGCGGAGCGCCGTTACGCTGCTTGTTCTGCGGCGGGCGCGATTAGGGGGGCTGAAACAGCGTGTGTCGCTGAGTCCCCGGCGGATTCATTTTGCTGGACCATGACGGGCTCCTGCTGAACTATATAGCCACTGACGACGAGTCCAGCGACCCGTTTAAGGTGGTTATGCCCAAAAGTCTGAGAGCCGCACTGTTGCGATCCTCTCACGACGAATCCATGGCCGGTCACCTGAGTGGCTCGAAAGTTTTTGCAAACTGAGCAATGTTGTGACCTGGCCCGGCACGAAGCGTGGCTTTTATCGCTATTCCGTGCCTGCCACGTCTGACAAACGGTTGAGCCAAGGGTTGGAAAGCCGCCCGGTTTTATGAACCGATTGTCAGTGAGCGTCCGTGGCGCGTACTAGCTGAAAGATCCCCTTTGGGAAAACTCAGCCGTGCCCACATCGCAGACCTGAAGCCCTTTGTCACGGTCTGACGAGCTCGCGCCAGTGCCCTACGGCACTTCGCGCAAGCAACGGGCACACCCGGAGCGGCGGACCGCATTCGGACCCCGCACCGGTATAATCTGAGGAAGCGGTCACCTTTGTGATTTCGCGCCGGACGGCGGACTTCTCCGCAACCGAAGGCCCTCAGTTTACTGTCTAGCCTCAGTATAGGTTAGCTTCTTTACGGCCTTTTCTCGTAAAGGAGTTGACCCCGCCCTGTCTGCTGCCAGTGTTTCTTTTTTTTTTTTTTTGAAGTGTTCATGTGTATTTTATGTTTCTTTTGTCTAATATTAAGTGTTATTTGTGTTTTATGTTTTTTGCCAGATATTGAATGTCATTTTTGCTCTGTTTTTACTTTTTTTTCCGTGTTCGTTTCGTCTACCGCGAAGGGAGCTGTGTGTGACCTTCAGTGTCGGTGCTTGCCGGGAGAGAGAGACGAAGGACGCTTTGCGCCTACGCTCGCGCAGCTGTCGGCGGTGTGTGTGCGTGCTTCTGTGCGTGTGTGGGTGCGTGACGCTTCGATGCGAGCCCGCGAAGAGTGCGTCATGGCTTCCCCCCCATCGACGCGGGCACTGGAGGTGCTGGGGGGCATTGACACACTGACGTCAGACCATCTGGCTGTGCTCTGCTCTCGGCTGTCGCCGAAGAAGCCCTGCTGCCTTTTCCCACCATGGCTCCTGCGCGAGGCCAGCTGAAAGCAGCTATATGCTGCCGGCCAACGCAAGGGCGCCTCGCAGCCAATTTTGGTTCGGCCTCCCTGACCACTGGAGAGGCCCGGCTTCGCGCAACGTCCCAGCTCCATCATCGAGCCAGAAATGCGGGGCCTCCGACGCACAGCCGGGGCAGCGTTCGTCGGACTCGCTGCTTATCAAGACCAGCAACGAGCCACCAGTGAGCCGCCCTTCCGGTACCTCTGACCTCGCACTCGGGCATCGCACCCAGCGGACACTGTCACGCCTTTCCGCCCCTTCCGCGCAGTGGACGCTATCCCCCTTCAGCACCACGAACACTAGTGCCACGTTTCTGTGCTCCCTTCCGCAGTTATCTTTATAGTGTCGTGTGTTTATTTTGTTATTTATGTTTTTGTTTCTCCTTTGTAATCATATTTTTTTTTAAGCAGCAGTAACAGGGCTGGACTGAGGTTAGCTGTCGCTCATAGCAGTGTCATTTTAACTGCATGGGTGACGTCCGGCTGCCTTTTGCAGACCGGTAAAGGGCAAATTTAGGAGAGGGGGATGTGGGAATTGAGGCTGGCCCGCTGCCTTTGAGCGGGCTTTCCCGCCTTTTCTGCCGTTCTCATGTCCCGACATGTCTGCCCTCCTTGCTGTCTGCCGCGCTGGGAAGGGCGAAGTGACGTTTAACTCCCTCACCCGGAAGCGGATGTGGACTGTGGCGCCGCGCGCGGGGACTCGCAAGAGGTTTTCGCGCGCTGCGTCGGGAGCGGTGAGTACAGTCCGGGACTTCAAACGGTCGATCGATCGATATGTGGGGTTTAACGTCCCAAAACCACTATATGATTATGAGAGACGCCGTAGTGGAGGGCTCCGGAAATTTAGACCACCTGGGGTTCTTTAACGTGCACCCAAATCTGAGCACACGGGCCTACAACATTTCCGCCTCCATCGGAAATGCAGCCGCCGCAGCCGGGATTCGAACCCGCGCCCTGCGGGTCAGCAGCCGAGTACAACTTCAAACGGTGAGCCACGCATTCTTTTCCGTCCGTCGAGTCCGTCGCTCGGGCTCGTCGGACTTCGCTGACAGGCGCCTCGCGCCCGATGCGAACGCTCACCTTTTGTTGCCCCGCTGCGTACTCACGGCCGAAGGGCAGTACGGTGTCCTAGTGCGTGGCCTAGCTACGCCGACCCGTCTCCCTTCGAAGCCAACGCGAGCGCCTTTGCCCTCGCTCGAGCAACCGGGCCCTTTGTCCCGGTGTCTCCGTGGATCACCTTTACCGCGGAGACGTGCTCGTGGCACCCCCTGTGTAGTACTTTGTGCCCGTGGCGTGGATAAGCCTACTTGCTTTCCCGCCGCGCCTATTTGCAACGGGCTGTACTGCGTTTGGTGTTGCCACAATAAAGTGTTGCGACTTGAGCAGTATCGTGTTTCCCGCCACGGCGACGGTTAACGCGTGCCCTGCGGCTCGCTAAGACCGAACCCACGCTGGTGGCCGTACTCCTTCGGGATACGTGTACACCACAGGCTCAAACTTCATTTGGCAAGTTAAAAAGCAATTTTATACCAATATACTGAGACAAAAAGCTTTGTATTTTCAAATTTCTATGCAGAACAAATGTGCACATTAGAGGAACGAAACCTGACTTTACAAGAAGAATATTTCAGTAGAACTGTTCAAATTCCCAAAGCTCCCAAAGCTGTTAAACTTCTACCAATATGTTTAAATATGGTGCAAATAAAAATCACAAAACAATTCCTAGGAGCACTGACACTACTATTCAATGGTCCCCCTTACAATGCAGCCATATGGTGTTACGCTACACCTGTGCTATGTAACACTCCGGCTTGATGCAAGCAGACAACAGCTTTGCTATAGCAGCCAAGAATAGCAATGAAACATTGTGCTTTGCACAGCTGGATACCACATGTACACATCATCCTTTATGCTCCAAGGATCAATGCAAATATGTATAACGGGCATTTTCACCTACAAAGGCTGCTACAGTGAAACTGGCGTGTCTTGTGAGCTGTTAATTATATGAATCATGCATATCTGCTGGCTACTATGGCTGCGAACACTTTGCGAAGTCTTTAATTTCGATGTACTTTAGTGGAGAATTTTCTTTTTTTTTTATATCAGGATGGTGCACAAGCCACTCTGATTTACTTGGAGTGGGAATACTGTAGTTCTTTCGGTACTTGCAAACAAAAATTTTCCTTGCTACAAGTAACATAGAATGTAATAACACTTTAAATTTGTTCATTTGAGCAAAGTTATTTTCTGAAATAAAGCAGCTACGAGAAAATTTTATATCCGATGATTCACTATGCATATAATATCGAGGTATAGCTACAATACCTATGTCACCCTTCGCTTGATCAGTACACATACAAACCAGTGTAACACGTGTTACAATGATGTTCACTGACACAAAGCTAGAAGTGTCTACATCGATTTTCCCAAAAAGAGATAGTAATGCCTCACCGCATTTTGCACCAGAAAGGTGGAGGTGATCTCGTAGGCCCACTTCTTCATTTCCTTGCCAGTGCCCAGCTTGTACAAGTTCGTTATTATCAAAAACAGCTGCACACAGAAACACCAATGGAAAGCCTCAGCACACACTCTGACAACACGTCATTGCAAAAAGCTCTGCACAGAAACTACCTCTACTCTTTCGGCTTAATTATTATACTGTCTTATCTGCATTTAGGTGTTCGTACATAAGTGGATCAACAAATTGCTCACCACCATTGTCTGTAAAGCATAATTGGCAAAATAAGACCATTAGCAAAAAAAGAAGGAGGCAGCTTCGCACTAGGGATGCTAAGCCCAAAGTGCAGAGCTGGCCAGCCTTCTGCTTTGCCTGCATTACACCAAGCACAGTATTTGTTCTTTTGCTGCTGATGACTACTGATCTTCATCAGGGCACTCAAACAACAAGAAGACTTCGCTTTGGCATGAATGCACATTCAGTATGTATGCATGGAACGTAACAACAAGTGACGATGACACCACACAACAGCATGCCACGGCCCAGCTCTCTAACGTGCTTTGCACTTTAAAGAACGGCACTAAGAAAGAACGCCCCAAGCGCCTTGTAATGAGTTTGAAAATTTCGAGAAATCCTTCCGATAGCCAACTTGCCCAGCTGTGCCTCCCAAACAAAATCTCCAAATGCCCTGATCATTTTCTATCTACTAACCAGGCTGGAGGGCTTCATCTGGCTTGAAAGCAGGTAATGCAGGAACACAGCCAAGTGTGCAGGATGGCGCAGAAGTTTCCAGATGTTGTTGAAAGGACCATTGTCCCCCAACTGCGTCTGCAAAAGCCAGTTGGCATACATTAAGCACATTACACCCTTTGTGGCACATCGCATTCACTCATTTGCCTTTATGCCACCTTAATTAAAATGCATAGAGCTTTCGAGGTGAAATAGAAAATTTCGGGACTGCATGGAATTCGCAACACAGTCACAGCAAAAGTTGCAACAACGGCATTTCAACTGCCACAGGTTGGTTGGTTGGTTCCTCAACAACTTGGCACAACCTACCTAAGGGGATAGGCCATGAATGGGACAGGTGCCTTGCCTTTTAAATTAAGTCACTCCTTAAAAGGAAGGGTTGAATAAGGTAATATAGGTAATAATTTAAATGTGTTAGATTTATTAACTACACTTACATGACACCCACTACGCAATTAATCATCATTACTTTTGTGAAGCAGGGAAGCACGCACTACTCCATTATTCGTAAACGAGGTACCCAGTACACACCTCTAAGACATTATGTGCAGAGGCTTTTTCGTTTTTAAAAAATATATTCCATTGCCTTCACTGTGCTGCACCACAGAGCACCCTAACCTCTCCAGTCATTAGGGCAAAAAATTTGTCACTGAAGTTTAAAAATAAAGTGCAGAGACAAATGAGTCTGTGAAAAAGAAAAATGCCCGTGTGGGTTTGTTTACATCTATCGCTGTCTACTGCCGATATTTGAAGACATGGTAGTCGTCGGAATCTAATAATATAGAGAAAACATGGTGCTCTGTGTAGTTGCTGCAACACTCACAAGAGAACTGAAATTTTTTGTATACCAAAAACTTTGGCAAAGAAGTATTTTTTCCTTTTTTTTTTTTTTCTTCACAAAGCTATAGCGGTATGCCCATGTACAGAGGACGACGACACTTGCCAGTTCTTGTTACCAGAAAAAGTCCTATCTCAACCAAAATGAACGCATTCAGTATATTTTTTTACTGCAAGCCAAAGAAGACTTTGAAAAATGAATTATGGTAGCTTAATTGTGGCGCCCCGAAACACTTCTTCCAGGGTGGACGAGCCTAGCTCGTCTTCAGTTGCGGGAATTTCGTTGGCGAGGGATTTCATTATTACAAGATTCGACCATATTCTATTTCATTATAGCATGGTTTGAGAGTAGCTGGATGTCATTTGAAGTAAATGCAGTGCAGTAAAAAAATGTTCCATAGTGCTTACCAGCTCGTTGTCTGAGGTTCGTTCCTCGTCGTCCATGGAAAGAATGCTACTCTGCTGCACTGGCACGCGGCCACCAGTAGGGGGTGGTCCTTCTGGAGGAGTGCCGTACTGCACACACAACATGGGCCTCACTGTTACCTATAGTTGATATCCCTTGCCTGAAAAGCCAGACACTTGAAATTCGAATTTACACTCCTTGAAGCTGAACAGAATGCAGTGCCTGTTGTTTCGTAAGCTTACGTGTACAGAAAACACGAATGCAGGTGTTCATCTTCAAGTTCAGAATGTTGTCAAGTATATTGAGGTAAGTCAACAAATGTTGAGTTATGAACCCCTACCTGTGTTGAACACTCAGTCAATATACAATATTTCGAAATAGAACTTTTCTGCTTGGTAGCTATGCACCTGCTATTTGTGAAGACATTTTACAATCAGTTTGTTTAAGTAACAAGGTAAAAATGAGAAAAGACGTGAACACAAGAAGCATCCACAAGCAATTATTTTTTTTACTGCACTGATACTTCTAACAGCAACAAGTTTAAACTTAACATGTTGTTTCTGCTGCCAAATAATTGATGTCAGAACATTCCTAGGCAGTTTAGCATCAATTCATGCATTCTCAACATGATATCTAGCTTGAAAAGCTTCATTCAATTTTCAAGGTGTGATGCAAGTTAGAGGCAATTTGGCTCACATCAAGCACCTCAAGTTTAATGTCACAGTTATCAACAAATGTACAGTAATGCAAATCCCACAGAAGGTGTGCTTATACTCCGTTTCATACATCATGTGCAACGCTGTCAAAGCTAGCGCTCTTGTTTGCGCTGTGTACTGCCGCGACCAAAAAGTAGTGCGTCGCTTGGGGTGTACGAGAATCAATAAATGCTTCTCGGGAAACTTCTAAGCATACATATTTGTCATCAGGTTAAAAAACAAACGCCTGTGTTGTCGGATAAACAATCCAAATATGCGAGTTGGTAATTTATGTTTGTCGCTTTCGTATCAGGTTTTCGCTCTCCGCGCGACCCGCGCCGCCGTTTTTTTTTTACTTGTTGTGGCAGCTTCGAAAAAATGCACCTGTCGTTAACCCAGCCTCATTGGAGCTGCTGTGCTACCTAATCAATGAATTAATGTCATCTTAAACGCAGTACTCACTCACATCAACGAGGTAAACCGACAATGCGGTATAATCGCGACAAAATCGCCATGCTGGTCAAACCTCGGTGCCAGCTCAGCAGGTTCCGGCCCTCACAAGGGAACACGGTATGCTACAAATGAATAGATACGTGCAGTTCACTTCCGCGTGCAAGTAAGTTGAAGTTACTGAAAAAAAAACAAGATTTCGAATTGAACTCGCCAAAAATTATTTAAAAAAAAATGGCACCACGTGGATTCGAACCCATGCACTTCAAAACTACGGTGAACTCTCCGAGCGACGCGTCAGACCACTCGGCTACGAAACCGCGCGGAGCAACACCTCGTGTTTTCTTTACGGACTACTTGCCTAGCCTTCACAGCGTTGCACCTGATGTATGAAACGGAGTATAGTTGGACACAACTCTGTAAGGGGCAACTGGCTTGTACGTGTTTTATAGCCCAAGTCCAGCCTTGTCCAAGAAAGGGCCATGCGTTGGCTCGACTCAATCATTTCAAGTCTTGTCTGCACCCGGCCCAGGCCCGTAAAATTTCGACCCGGCCCGTTTGAGCCAGCAGCCCTTGAGGGTAAACAAGCCATGATCGAATTCTCAAAGAGGTACTGACACAAAATTTTGAAGGCGACATAACTTGTGGGGTTTATTTGTGTGCATACGGATGCATCATCTACAAAACATAAACAGCTAGTATTGCCTAGAATATATTTAAAACCAATTTCGAAGTGCATGTGATGCAACTGTGCGTGATATGCTCCACCTCGGGACATCGACACCAACTTAGTTTTTATGTAAGCAACCAAGAGTCATCTGCATCAAGATTTTGTGTAGACCATCGCAAACCTTGCGAGCACTCTCTCCTAGCAGACCTTTCAATGAGAGAGTGGCTGCCCCACCTTTATGGATTTACATGTAAGTACAAAGACTGAATTTGTTGCCTCACCAGTGTAAGGGAGTCATTGCTGAAAATGGCTGTAAACACAGCGTTCAGGCAAATGCGGTTATGCGTGCTCACGTAGCCAGCTATGTTTAAAATAAAACAACTCTGGGTCCCCCCTCTCTTGACACATTTTGAAACAAGAACTGTGACTGGGCGTGACAAAGCAGTCTTCAAATAATTAAGTCATGCACTTGAAAAAACAGTTTAAGCCACAATAAGTTGGTCATTAGCTACTTCTTGAAGAAAAAAGAAGACAAAGTTTTCCTGACAGTACTCCCTTAACAGTTGTGGAAATAAAATATCAGCCACCTGTATTCATTATTTCCAAAAGGCAGAGTTCACTTGTAAAGCTTTCAACCAAAGCTCCTGCTTAAAAAAAAGTAGAACAAAAAACTTACGTGACTTTGCGATGCTCGTACAATAAAGCGTGACATAAATGCACATGCTGTGCTTGTCACTGTTAGCAAAACTAGCGAAAACATTAGTGAAATATCCTATGTGCAGTTCGGCATTTCATCTCGTTTTTGAATCTCAAATACCCATCATAACATACAAGGTTGACACTTGTGCCAATAAACTCATCGAGAATGTAAATATTAATATGCTGGTGCATAAGCTTTCTGAATGATTATTACACTGCTGCATAAACCTCAACGAATAATACAAAGTGGAAATGGGCAAAATTAATCCTCATGCATGATCATATTTTATTTATTTATTTATTGAATAATGCGGACAAAAAGTCCAAGCAGGGTGAGCATACATGAAACGCACTAAATAACAGAATGAAACAAGGTTGCAAAGCGTTTTTTACACCATTTCTTTGCATATAAGACAGAGGGGTTACGACTTAAAAAAAAAGTAACAATTGAACAACAAGGTGATAATACAATTCAAGGAAGTCATGGAAGAAGAGTATTTACACAAATGGTCAAGGGCGTTGAGGAAAATGCTTCGGTTAGTTTATTCCAATGATCTATTGTTTGTGGGAAGAAGGAGTACCGAAAAGTATCAGTCCTTGCGAAGATTGGCGTTGGGGAATGAGGATAGTGGTGTCGAGTGGGTCTGCTTAACAAGGGGGATACGTATGCTGCGGTGTCTAAGAGTCTCTATATTGTCACATGAAAAGAATTTTTTTTTTTTTAGTAAGCAACTGCTACTGCTTTGACAGGAATCGAAGATCAATGGTGATGAACACAAATAAGTGCACTGCACCAGAGCTGTGTCACGATCTGCTTGCCTCATATTGCCCAGAAGCGAACAGGCCCCACTGACCTATAAATATTTCATGCCGCTTTAGTATTTATGGGCTACAGTTTGCTGCCTAGGCCTAACGCCTGGACTTTATGCCTGGACCTAATGCCTGGCTAACTGATGGCCGAACCCAAAACTATCAGAGTTCCTAGAGAGAGTTGAACGTTGCCAACACTGTATTCACAGTACAATGTACACGTATTATGCTGTTTTGAGTGGGTTATGTTTTTATTTGTTTTTATTAGCATTTATAAGATTATTAGCATGTTACTAGTTATGCATTAAGTTTAGCTGGTGAGCGCGCTGTGACGTAAAAGCAGTTAATGATTGCCCACATTTATGTTGCACGACAACGTGGCTGAGTCCTTGTGTTCCACGTGAACAGCGCGTTTTCATTGCACATGCAGTGTTGTTTCACTGAATAAGAACAATGCGATAAAAAAGCACAGCACATATTTAAGCAGTCATAAAGCATGCTGTGATTAGCCAAATAATAGCTTTAATAGGATTCTCATTTAGAATGGGGGTCATTCTAGATAGCCACACAACCTGTATTAAAGAAGCCTTGCTGGCAGTCATTGCTACTTGAACATCACTGAACAATTGCTCATACTTGATTATAATAGTGTGATGACTGGCTTATGACCTTAAACTCTACTAAATGCAAACTAATCTCATGCACTCATCGTCTAAACCCTCTTCGCTTCTTTTATAACATAGCTAACATCTCTGTGTAATCAGCAACCATTTATAATACCTTGGAATCACCCTATCCTACAAGTTGTCGTGGAACACTGACATTAATAAAATCTCATCAACATCAAACAGAACCCTGGGCTTCTTAAAACATTATTTACACAGCACTCCGAGTCATGTGAAACTACTTGCTTATACAAGTTGGAATACGCATCTCTCATCTGGAACCCACCTGAAGTTGGTCTTACAAATTCCCTTAAAACCAATCAAAATCATGCAGCTAGATTCACTCATGCTTCATACTCATACGACATCAGTGTTTCATCCCTCAAAGCCGAGTGTAACTGATCACATATACCTTGTCGCTGATGCCATTGCAACCCTCTCACTATTTCACAAGTTTTTTTTCACTTGCCACTTAACCGTTCTCTTTACATTATACCTGCAGCTCACATATCTCATTACACCGGCCATGCACTCCAAGTTTTTCACCCACGTGCCCGTACTGAAACATTTTCTGCTTCTTTTTTTTCCCAGAGCAGCAAAAGACTGGAATCACTTTTCCCACGATATTGCCAGAATCAGCTGCCCATCTAGCTTCACGCATAGCATTTCAAATGTAACTTCACATTGACCATTGTGACAACACTATCAATTGTATGTTAACCCACCCGTTATGTAATATCCTCCCAGGGGTTTCTAAGGAAATAAAAATTAATGAATGAATAAATGAAACAAAAGAATTACAGAAAAGGTAACACTTATGAAAAGCACAGAGAAAGGATGAATGACCTCATGCTAATAATTCTAACTCTGCCTCCAAGAATTTTCAACAGGATTCAGACAGGATATGTGGCCCAATACTTCAAGCACTAAGTGGTGGACATATGTATTAAAATTCAAATGTTTGATGCAGTTTTATTTTGTCACAAATGCATGGGCCTTATCATGACGCCATGTCACCCTCTCATGTTGCAATACTTTGCTTATGGCAAACGGCGTTAAGCCTTTGTACTTTTCTTGGAATTTTTTTTTCTTATGAGATTGTCAGGCGCATTTCTGTTGGCATTTACTCATGTCAAGTGTTTTTTTTTTTTACTTCGGCACATCTCATATGTCGACACTGTCATCTCTTTTTTTTTTTTCAACCTGCTAGGATGCTTCAGAAATGAGAAAGCCCTGCTCTGCAATAAGGGAGTACAAGAGCAACAAGACAGTGAATGTCATGCATGCCAAATCTATGCCAAGTTCCAAAGATACGAAGAACTTGGTATACCCTAAACAACCAAACAAGTTGGTTTCTGTACTATTATGACAACATATTTTTTGCCTCCAGCTGTAAATGCTTTTTCTCACAGCTATCTTCCATGCTTTTCTTTTATGTCATAAACAAGCAGCAAAAATACTACTTTCACACTTACGCTGCAACCCATCATTTCACCACAAAAAAGGCCCTAGGTGATACATCTTTATTGCAAGTCTCTGTGATGCCTCAGGCCCAGAGAGTATGCAAAAAAGCCAAGAATAAACATTGCAATCTAAGTCACACTTCTTGTGTGCACGGCTCAAAATATTGGCACTTCCATGAAAGCTTATTGACAACCCAGTTTGCACTGCAGCCTAAAAACAAAAACAAGAACATGGCAGTTCTACAGCTGTGTTCAAACAAGAAATGAACTCGTGAATCTCACTCAACAATTATTGTCACTTTAGCACTATGTTAATGCAGTGCAAAGCATTCAAGCTACTTTGCGACAAAAGTAAATCACTGCTCTGAAAAATCAGGCATAGTGCTTTTCTGCAGAGCTTTAACTGCAAGCTCAACATTTCACTAGCAGCAATTAAAAGTGCAGTGCGCTCTAGCCAGCTGCAGTGCTGCCCCCTGGGAGAGAACAAAATGTTACCTGCAACGGTCGGCCTTCAAGGCTGTCGTCCAATCCGGGAAGCTCACCTTCCAGGAATCCCTGCCAGCAGTGGTTAGCAGCACAGCAAGTGTGAAAGGGGGGGAAGGGAGGGTGCACTACGTTAGCCAGTGGGTCAAGCCATGCATTCCTGACACTGTGAAGCAAGAAGTGAGGCTAGCCTACTCAATGAGGTGAGCGATCGGGCAAGCTGTGCGAGTTAATGAGCTGCTCCAAACAGGACAGTTCGTTCACACAAACTTCTGCATTCTCAAGGTGAACAGCACAGCTTTGTTGAGAAATTGGCCACATCTAAACTGGCCGCAATGCTACACTCGACTACGGGGTTGTAAAAGAACGGCTCAAACCCCACAAACCTGAACAATGTGCAGTGCGAACCCTTGTGCCTAGGCTTCCCCGCAATCAAATCAACAAAAGCACGAAAAGAGTTCTATTGGTGGCTACTGTAGGCTACAACAGAACGCAGGAGTCATAATTTGTATCTACCATATTAGCTCACATAATCCGCGCTTTTTTTTGTGTGTGAAAAACATATGCAAAGTTGGGGTGTGCGAGAATTACGCGGAGAAAACTTTCCACGAAAACGTACAGAGCAAAAAAGAAAACGAAGTGGCCACAAATCGGGATTCTCACACCAGCAACTAACAGCAAGCTTTGAGAAGTACTAATTAAAACTTACCTCAACAATAAAAGCACAGGTTCAACACAAGACAAGATTTATTTGAGACAAAAAGTGCAAGCAAATAAACGAGAATCAGAATATCATACGCAAAGCTTGTGGGCATTGCGGGCGTAACGGTAGCGTACGTCACTCAACAGGAGCTCTCAAAAGGTAAACGTAGGATGTCAGTATTGGGCTGCCTAGGATGTCAGTATTGGGCTGATGGCTATTTAACAAAATTGTCCGCAGTTTCCTTCTGAAGAAATAAAGTTTACCATCAATCCCAGTTTTAGGCACATGGCAGGCCCAACGCATCTTGGTGTATTTCAGCTGCCGTCACCAGTAGCGAACACAAAACTCGTCGACTCTGAAGGGCCTACCGGCAGCCCTGTGTTCAGTGCATGATCAATCACTTTCAACTTGAAAGCAGCCGTGTAGCTTCAGTATCGCCCCGTAATGTAACAAGATTACCGACACAACATACAAAACACACCGCAACGCGCACTTGCCACTTTGGCTTGGCTTGGATTGAATTGAGTTTCCGTGCAATAATAGTACGCTTGATGCCTAAGAAATGGCGCCAGATGGCACACGCTATCATCATCAATGGCTGGAAGGAGCCGACAACATTATTGCAGCAATTTTCTAGGGTGCAATAATTACTCAAGAAAAAAAAGAAATCGTACTTTTGTTGGGCGATGTGGGGGTGCAAGAATTTTGTGACTGCGAAGATTACGCGAGTAAATACAGTAGCTAATTAGCACAGCTTGTCATTTATATGAATAGCACTGCGCTTCGCAGAAACTCCTGAGTGCCCTTAGGCTTGCCCTGCAAGTAATGTATGTATTCACAAAGCCCATATGCCCAACCATCTTTGCTTCACAACTGCAAGTGGCTCACGGATGCACTTTATGCATGCCCCATTTTACAGTTATATATTTCTACGTCACACTGAATCATGAAACACCTCAGTGGAAACACGCTTTAGTGCAAGCACACATTAGTAGAAGCCAGACCTCTAAACAGTGGTCCCATCACAAAATAATTCAGAATTTGAGACCATGATACATGACTCATGCAAGTAACTTGGTTTAAAAGTTGTGTGAGTAAGACAATGGCGAAGTAACTGCTCCCTAAGAATAATTGTCTCAAAACTAAGCAAGCTCATTAAGAAACTTATAAAAAATACAAAAGAAAGGCAGAGTAGTCAGCTTATGCTCATAGAGTGAACCAACAGCTCTGCCACAGGAGCAAACGCTTACCTCTTCAGAGGTGTTGTCAGCCTCTTCAGCTGTGTCATCCCCACGCCATGTCTCTGACAGGTCACTGGGGTCCTGAACACAAAATGGGCAGTCTTCAGTTCCACAAGCTGGCGAAGCACTTTGTTGCATGAAAGGTAGACAAGTAACAAACACGCACAGTACTGATATGTTCAAACATGCATGTGCTTGCAAACAAATGCACATACACACACATGCACACACAAAAGTTATTACCCGTAAAACCACACTAGACTGTCGTCGATTGGACAGTCTTTACAGACGAACCCCCTAACTCAGATGTCAAAATCAAATCCTCGCTACACCCCTATTCTAGCAAATTAGAAAAGAAACTTGTCTTTTGTATAATACCTCAGATACAGAGCTCGAAAGGTAACAAAAAAATGGCGAGCTGACAGTGAAGAACTTCCACTCTGACAAGGATATCCCCCCCCCCCTCACCCAATGTGCTGCCCCGACAGATGTCTCAGAATGTTGTCTACCAAACCTTCTTGATCTTCCACAGTAAACAATTTAAAATGGGCATTTTGTACAATCAGAATATTTACAGCAAAACCTGGCTTCTCTGAGCATTGCTGAGCTGCACAGCAAAATATTTTTGCTGCGAATTTTTATAATATTTAGTGTTGGAGGGCTCTCTGCAACAGGGCACTGCAAGGTCTGATAGCTCTGAGCGGCAAAGTATCCCTGCACTGACTAGGATACAGAAGCACGCTCACTCTAACAGGGGTCACCGGGGGATTGTCCGTGCAGGATGAAGGTGCAAGCCCTAGGTCAAGACTAGGCCCCATGGGCGGCTCCTCCACTGGGCCAAGGGGGCCTTCGAGGGTGCACAGCAGAGTCTCGGGGCTTGACCGCTGCCGCAAATGCGTCGGAACACTCTGCAAGACACAGAACACACAAAGTTCAAGCTCGAATCTGCTTGTTCTTCTGCGTTTGGCTATCGCAATGTAGTGGTGTTGCATGTATCAATTGTCACGCATCGGCTGGTGTGAATATTCGAATGCTTTACAGTATTCAAGTTCACTTTGATTCGAATTTTCATTACTGAAAATTTTGAAGTATTCTAAATGAACAAATAGGCACGCATTAATCCGCACGTAACCCCCTGTAAAGATGGTTTAACTGCAATATAGGAATGCAAAACCATGAAAACACCTATCCAGAGGAGATCCGCACTGCCACAAATCCCATTTCAAGGTTAATGAACAAATTACGCTCACATCAATGAATCATTCTTTTACTTTCCAAGTTTAAAAGCTTGCTATGCTGGCCCATATGCTCCAAGTATAGTAAATTATGATGCTTAACATATTTTACAGGTTACCATTTAAATTCCCCAGAAGTCATATCCTGCTACTATTCAAAGTAGTTTCCACTTCTTTCGAACCAAACATGGCATTTGCACAGGCCTTGTTTCAATTTTCTAAAAATGTTGTGCCCGTTAGTTGGGTCACGACAAATGTGCTCATTTTTCTTCATAACATAAGATACATACTATTCAAATTCGGTTCGAAAATTATTTGCCCAAATGGCTGTTCACTTCCAGCCTAAAATTTACTGTTCGCACATGCCTAGTCATGTGGCATCAGCTAGGCGATTATTCTCAAAAGAGAGGATGATTGCTCTCTTATGGCCCACATGATTCGAACTAATGGGCACTGCAGTGATGTTGCTACTTTATGGACAGGTAATGTGCACTCTAGTGTGCTGTGACCGATGGCGCTAATATAGGCGATGACAATAAACCCAGCTAACAATTGCTGCTCCTGGCTTCATCAGTTACACTCTGAGTCTTTGATCAGCCACGTTGTGGCTGATACAAATACCACAGCTGCATGCGACACTCTTTGCCGCTTTTTCCCCCCCCATATTGATCTCGATGCAATTGGACAAGTTTGTGCAGTTTTTCATGCTGCTTTTCAGTATATAATTACTTCTGTAACTTGTCTCGCTCCTATGTAACTAAAGTTCACCCACTATTGTTTTAAGAGCCACTGACACCAAAATCAAAACACTGAGATGTTTGCCATTGTTCAATTGTCTTGTATACGTGAGCACTTTTGACCTACCATTAGCGACAAATGCAGCCTTTCCCATATTTTCATTTAAAGCTAGCAATTGTGCTCATCTGAGTAGGAGGAACATTGCAACATCGCCACTGGTATGACTTGCATATTGAATCCCCTTAGATGTTGAATGAATAAAGAGAGTATCATCATCAACGTCACAGACAGGTTTATGGTGCACAGACACGATCACAACTGGAAATCGACCGCAGCTATTGATTCTTGATTCTTGCTGATATCACCCAGCGCGCAGAGGATTACGCCAATCAACTAGCTGCAACTAATTGGGCCAATTTCTGTGATTCACTCAATGGAACGCTGAGAACGGCCAAAACATGGAACATACTGAAAGCCATGATAGACCCCACGAAGACAAAAAATGAAAACAGTAAAGCCGTTGAACGATTGCTGCACTTATACCCAAGTACAAAAGAGGACCTCATTCAAGCCATGCATAGAAAATGCTTTGGGGAAGACGGAGCGACGCCTTCATATCAAGGAAGGTATAAAGGATCACCGCAACCTGATTTAGACAAGCCTTTTACGGACGCTGAGATAAGAGCAGCCATATTTAGTAACAAGAAGAACACAGCCGCGGGTGCAGATAAAATCACCGATGGTATGATAAGGAGCCTAAATGACGAAGCCATTGAAGCTCTCACTAAATACATAAACAAACATTGACTGGCTGGAACTGTCCCACCAGAATGGAAACATCCGATTGTGGTCATGGTGCCTAAACCAGGAAAAAGTTGCCATTGAGAACATGAGACCTACCTCGCTCACGTCCTGCTTAGGAAAAATCTTTGAACAACTGGTGAACACCAGGCTCCTCAACCATCTCGAGAAGAACAACCTCATGCCCAAAACTATGTTTGGCTTTCGCTCATACCTTTCTACGCAAGATGTTCTACTACTTTTAAAAGAACAAGTATTAGTGGACATCTCTAAGGTTGGGGAAAATGTCGTTATGGCAGTTGACATGAAGGGAGCCTTTGATAACATCAGTCACAAAGCAATACTAGAAGGTCTGGAGGAAGCTAACTGTGGAGAAAGAATGTTCGACTACGTCAAAAGTTTTCTTAGTAACAGGACTGCAACAATCAAGCTGGGAGATTACGAATCCGACATCATTAAACCTCCAAACAAAGGAACACCCCAAGGAGCGGTCATTTCACCGACACTTTTCAATGTCGCCATGACAGGCCTTGCAGGAAAACTCAAAGATATTGCCGTTCTACAACATGCGATATATGCAGACGATATTGCGGTATGGACAACTACAGGCAGCCTAGCAGAGAAAGAAGATAGGTTACAACAGGCAGCTAACACCATAGAAGAGTACGCAAGGATACGGGGTCTTCTGTGCTCAGCCGAAAAGTCAGAGCTCATTTGCTTCACGAAGAGAAAAGCAGGGAGGATCGACCCGAATCTAAAGCTGGAAGTCAAGCTCGACGAAAATGTCATTCCGGAGAAAGATACCGTACGCATACTAGGAGTGTGGCTTCAAGCTAATCAGAGATGTCTGCACACACTAAATCAACTCAAAACATCAGTACAGCAGATCTCATGCATGATCTCACGAATAACAAACAACCATAACGGCATGAGAGAACAAGATACCCTAAAATTGGTCAAAAGCCTCATCATCAGTCGCATTACATACTCCCTTCCGTATCAAATTATGAACAGGAAAGAGAAAGAAAAAGTAAACCAAATAATTAGAATGGCCTACAAGACAGCCCTGAGATTACCGCGGAATACTTCAAACGACAAGCTGCTGGCGCTTGGTCTTCATAACACAATTGAAGAATTATCCGAGGCCCAGTTACCAGCGCAAGAAAATCGCCACAATTGAAGAATTATCCGAGGCCCAGTTACCAGCGCAAGAAAATCGCCTTCTCCAGACCCCAACGGGCAGAGCAGTCCTAACAAAACTAGGGCGCGATACTTTATTACAAACACACCAAGAAACTAAAGAAGTACCAAGCGAATTCAGAGAATGGTACACCGTATTGCCACTACCAAGCAACATGGATCCTACTCTGCATGCTGGAAGAAGAAAGGCAAGGGCTGACTACATAGACAAAAAGACAAGATTTTTGAACATGGCCAGATTCACTGACGCTGCGCCTTATCAGACCAATGCAAAGAGATATGTGTGTGTAGCCACCGACCATAGAAGGAAAATTACAGCCTGCGCTTAATAGATCAGGCGTCGACAACACAAGCAGAAGAGGTTGCCATAGCACTCGCAATAAAAGAGGGATGGACGCGAAACGCTCCAATAACAGTCATTACAGATTCGCAAAAAGCTTGCAGAAACTATCTAAAGGGCGAAATTGGAGCACAAGCGCTCCGTATATTGGTTGGGACAGGATGGGACCCCATAGTGAAATACGTACAGGCTGTGACTTGGGCACCGGGGCACGAGGGCGTGACAGGGAACCTGCGCGCGGACAAGGTGGCTCGAGGCTTCACAAATAACCGAGCCACTCAAGCCAATGCAAGTGATGACCCTACACCCCTGAACCCTTGCTTCGCAACAGTTTTAAAGTACTACAGAAAAAATAGGCAGCTGTATCCACGTCCTCATAGCAAGCTCAGCGCTGCAGAGGCAACAGCGCTAAGAAAAATACAGACTAACATTTACATAAACCTGCACACTCTTCACCTGATCTACCCCACGGCGTACAGAGATATATGCCCATGGTGTGGAGCCACTCCAACACTCTTTCACATCCCGTGGGAGTGTGCAGAGCACGACGAAGAGCACGACACCACTGGCACGTGGGAGGAATGGGAGGATCAGCTGCGACTGATCCAAAGAGCTGAACGGATGGCTCGCGCCAGTGGGGCCCTGGAATAGGGGCACCACCCTGCCAGACAGACTTCACTCTCCCCCTCGTATATTCCTCGGGGCACTGGAGTTCAAGCCTGTCTGGATTATGTATATAATAAAGTTTTGTACTACTACTACTACTTGATTCTTGCTCCGATTGCCCTACTGTCAGGTTGCTCTCAAGATGGATAGGGGCCCTTACACTATTGGTGTTTAGGAATGTTTTCTCTCTCTCTCTTTTTTCCTAGTGGGTGCTGAGCATTGTTACGTTATTGCCCACCCCTTAGAAGACGAACACTGGGCGACAAAGAACTATACGGTCACAAATGCAGGTAGCTGTACTGCGTGTCATTTCATTCCATATTGGTTCAAACAAAAGGAACTAGCAGATTATTAGCTGCAAGCCAACTAGGAAAGCTTTGCATTGGCATAAGACAGAAAGATGTCAAGATGTCAAAAATAAGCCAGCTAACTATCACTTAAGCCACTCCGTGTAGATCGTCATATTTCTACCTAATGTATAATCAAAACATATAAACCCACCCCTTACATAATGCCCTTGGGCTTCCAAGGTAATAATTGATTGATATGTGTGGTTTAACGTCCCAAAACCACCATATGATTATGAGAGACGACGTTGTGGAGGGCTCCGGAAATTTCGACCACCTGGGGTTCTTTAACGTGCACCCAAATCTAAGCACACGGGCCTACAACATTTTCGCCTCTATCGGAAATGCAGCCGCCACAGCCGGGATTCGAAACCGCTAAGGTACTCGGTCAGTAGCCGAGTACTTTAGCCACTAGACCACCGCGGCAGGGCCGCTTCTAAAGTAATAGTACTATGATGAAATGAATTGAAATCGCGTACCATATTTACTCACATATCTCACACTCCCTAACCCGGCCGAGCCAGTTCACCGGTGCACGCACGAATAGACTGTGGACCTTTGAATTCTTGGGACGGGCGCGATGAGCGCGCGCCCGGCCGATGGGGCAAGCGCAGTAAGACGGGCCACGAGTCACTTTTTCCTAGGGTCTCTAGAATGCCGTGCACAAACACTCAAACCTGTTGATGGATTGCCGGAATTGCTGGAGCGTTTGTCCCCCTCTACCTCTCCATCTCTAACAGCATGTGAATGCACGCACGCGTCACGGCACAAACAACTTTCGGAATCAAAGGCGTGCGAAGACCTGTTGCGCCTGTCATGCCAACTCTTCCCCCTGTTCTCTGCGTCGGTGCTGCAACGCATGCTTGGTTGACTTTGCAAGTGTAGGTTTCGCCCTCCGTCCTTGGCGTTTTTACTGCTCTTTTGCGATGGGCTAGAGTAATTATATGTACGGCGAAATTCAAGCTCGCTGTTGTAAATTTTGCCGAAGAAAATGAGAATTGTGCCACCGCCAAGCATTTCAGCGTGAAGTTCTCCTATGTGAAACAATCGAGGTGATCAGTACGAAAGAAAGAGAGTGCACGCTTGCTGATACAAGTTTCCTGCCCGTGCAGAAGGACTTTTCAATTATGTGCAAACACTCAAGTCCTCCAGTATCACCATGTCGTGGGACCTAGTTTCTCGCAGCACTGTCGAGAAGAGCTTCAAGAAAATGGGACATTCGAACGCACTGGACAGAACAGAGGGCGTGACGATGATTCTCAATCAGACCTCTCAATCAGCAATTCCGACCAGGCCACGCTTGACCGGATCTCACTGGTTAAAGTACGTGCTAATTCAGTTAAATAAAGAAGTATATTTCATTCATCTCCAATTTCTTTTATTTTCTTTAATGTACATACTTTCCGTATTAAGACTATCGGACATTATTTTGTGTGGATTCGCGAAATCCCCGCATAGTTTGCGCACCCCCTTCTCGGAGCCCCCGAATCATGAAGAAAAAAGTGCGCAAATTTTGCATGTGAATGCGGTAAGTCATTTGCCTTTATTAACAGTGCTTCTTGAGGTGACAGGCCCTGAATTGAGGTGCTACTAAGGGTTGACCAGAAGACATCTTAAAGCGAGTAGAAACTGGACTGCGACATTTGTGAGAAGACAAAAGCTTCTCCTTTAGAGACACAAGGGTATCTTCCAGAAGATCAATGATGACATTATAAAAGGGCAATTTCTTTTCTATTAAATGTCTGTGTATTACACGCAGCTACACCTTTATTTACACATCACTGAACTAGCAAATATTATGTACATGTTATAATCATGTAAATACGGTATGTTAGCTGTTGATACCTTTAGATATTCATGTGCAGCAGCTGATATTTCAGCTTTGTTCGAGCTCTGTGAAAATCGAGATTTCCTCTCGCAAAATGCTGCTGAGTGGTATCCTGTAAAGCTAAAACAGAACTTATGTACAGAAAGCTGGGCCGGCAATGTGTCTAACCATAACTTCCAAACAGGTATTCTCTAGGCTTGTGCAAATAGTAAATTCTAGGTTCAAAGTGACTTCAAATAGTAATCTGGTCGAACCATTTTGAATCGAATTTGAATTCTATATATCACATATCACAATTTTGAATAGTAACAGGGTTTGACCTTTGGCAGCATGCAAGTGATAACCTGTTTAATGTGTTATGTTTTAAAATTTCCTATAATTAGAATATATAGGCCAAAATAACAAGCTTTTAAGCTTCCAAAATAATGAATCGATGTGAAGCTAATAGTATGTTCAATTAGCTTTAAGGGGACATGCTACTCAAAAAAAAAGTTTCTATATTTGACAGCCTAGGGAAGTGAAACTTTTGCAGTATTTAGAGGTTTTGATGCTCGCTTCAAACATGTAATCAGTTTTATAGTAAGCTGCATAGTTTTCATTTTGTACCATGGCAATGTGTAAAATATAGATCTTTTTAGAGACACTTTCTGCCACTGAGTTTTTATGGTTCTGAGCCAATAGTGGCTCATACTGCTCCACAATAACTGCAGACTGCAAGTAACTAACTAACAAGAAAGTGCATCTTAGCCATTTTAACAGGCAAGAAAACTAACAAGAAAGTGCATCTTAGCCATTTTAACAGGCAAGAAAAATTGTAATGTGACAAGTCTTAGAATGCCGAGGCCACACTAATTGTTTATTTCAGTTTCATATTAATTATAAAAGTGATATCAAGCTTCAAAGAAAATACTTGCATTTTTCACATGTTAAGGAGCATGTGGGCAAAATTTTATTATGATCTGGCTATCAGAAGTGCCAAAAACATGACGTCAAAACTCAAAAAGCTGCCCAAAACAGTATCTTGAGAAAAACCGCATCTTTTAGGTATAAGTGAAAGCTCAATATGTGGCTAGGATGCATTTCATAAAATTATTTCTTTCGTCATGAGAGCTTCGGAATCATGGTTATTTTGAGCATGTGGCTTTGGTGAACTGCTCATGCGAAATACAATGGCAAGCAGCTGGGCGACAATTTCCAGGAGACTATAGACAACGAGCTGTCTTTTTTTTTAGTAGCCACCTTGTGTTGTTTTTTTTAAGTGGTTTTAACCTACTTCAAGTTAAATACAATCTTCACTTTTTGTGTGTGAAAGCTGAGGAACTACACTTGTGAAAACAAATAAAAACAAAGAATACGTAATTTTGGAAAAAAAGAAGTTTCGTTTTTCGGCTCACAGTTTTCCTTAAAGTAACGGGTTCGCGGCAATGCATATTTTGCTTGGAAAAGTGTAATCATGGTAGAGCAAACCTCCAATGCAGTGAAACCACGTTTACAAAAGGTTACATGAGGACTAATATACTACACTTACTTGTTCTTTTGAATAATTTGAAATTGTTAATAAGTTAAGTTCTAATCGATGTAAGTTCAATATTCCAATATTCGTTAGCATATTCGAAGTGCTTGAATATTTTCACAAGCCTAGTATTCTAAACTGCGACGCATTAATCAGGCCCACTTACCCACGGACTGGGCCCGAGCGCATGCGAGAGGTTCTCTAACGAAGCCGAGCTTGCCAGTGGTCCCGACCGGGGACGCCCCGTTGTTGTCGCATGAGGTGCTACGTGGAAGGAACTCGAGCGCAGCCCCTCGGGTCCTTCCGTACTCCGACGGGCCTCGGTGGCCGAGCGCTGACGAGGAGCAGCAGCGCTGGCCTCCTGATTGGAGTTCCGCAAGGCCAACAGTTGTGTCTCCAAGTGAGCAATGCGCTTGCGGGCGCTCTGCATCTCGGCATGGCTTTTCTCGGACGACGTTTTGCCATACTCGTGCAGCAATTGCTGTGAATGGGGCACCGATGTAGCAACCGTGAGACTGTGAAGCAACTGAATTATTAAAAGGTGAACATATTCAACAGAGATCTGTCTGGCTGTGTGAAAATTCCTATGAATAAAATAAACTCTTCAGCCACCTATAGTACTCAGTCTGTAAAGTTAAAATTTAAAAACTATTCATTGACCCGACGTTTCGGGACAGATTCGGTCCTTTATTCAGGGGTGACTGTTCGGCCAGCTTCAAAGCTAGCGACGTTTTTGGTGGTGTCCCCCTCTTCATGGTCATTCTTCCCACCACAGCAACAATAACGGCGGGAAGGAGGACAATGAAGAGGAATGTCATGAGCAATCTCCCTTCAGAAAAAAAAAAGATAACGAAGTATAGAAGATGGTCGCTTCTGCATGAGCGCGCACACCATTTAGCGAAGCCCGAGGCACTTGACCCAAGCTGCGATCGGCGCGCAAGCAGCGAGGAGCTGGATTGTCGACCTGGACGTGGCAGAGGAAAGTCACATCGCCAGTTAGCGTACTGACGACAGGGGCGTCAGGACAACGACTTGGCAACATGTGACGCGGGTGTCTCAACAAGAAGACGGATTCCTCGACCTGCTTCGAGGAAGGCTGCTCGAGATGCAGCCACCTACAGCAAGGGCCAATGTTCCTGGCCCAAATTCCCTTCGAAGCAAGCTGCCGGAGACAGTCCTTGGGTGACCACATCAGCGTGCAGCACCGGGTATCGCCTGTGGCTGCTAGGCCCAATCACCGAGGCATACGCCACGTAACCAACATCAAGTGATAACGACGACGGGCGACCACATCAGCAGCGGCAGAGACGGCTATATTCGTCGAGAACCACAAAAGTGACACAGCGCGACCGATCTTGGACATTATCGAGTCGTGAATCGGCTTGGTCAAGTAAGGTCGGCGCGAATCATGTAGCGATAGTTACCTGATGATGATCACGACAGTTTAGAAAGTGAAGGGATTTGTTGGAAGATTAACCTTGGGAGCTATTACTGCTTGTTTGGTACATTTTTATATATATTTTTAAAGTGCCGTTAGTGTTTATTAAATGGGTTTTCTTGTTAACCGAGTCTTGTCTCAGACCATCAACCGCAGCAGCAGCCCGTAAATCCATGACAGGGGGACACTACCAAAAAAGCCCCTAGCTTCGGAGCCAGCCGAGCCCCTGAAGATGGGACCGAATCGGTCCTGAAATGTCGTGCCAGCTTATAGTTTTCAAATTTTAACTTTATAAAGTGTAGACCATAGGTGGCTAGAGAGTTTATTTTATTCGTATGAGCTGAAGTGTTCTAGTATTGCAAAAGCCGCGCTACGTAGCTGCATTATGTTTTATTTTTTCGAGAAATATAACGACAATAATTTAGAATAATTTTACCAAGTTACTCTTAGCAACCCTCCAGCTGCGAGCTTTGTGCATCAGAGCGGATTATCAGTTTCGCTTAAGCATGTGGCAGGAATGAGGTTCAACTCAATGAATTCAACTAATAAGCAGCGACAAAATTGGCAAGGCACCTTATTTATCAACATTCTTTCACAAAAATAGAACACATTTTGCAGAAAAGCATTGCGAGTGCTGGTGCTGAAAAAATTCTGATTTATCAATGAGACCGTATTTTTTCAAACCTACCCAACAGAATACAAGAGGCGCCACTATGTGTAGAATCGTTGTCCTCCTCTGGGGGCGTTTTACGATTGCACTGCTACTACAGTAAAAGCTTGTTATTTCAAACTCAAAGGGCACTATACTGCTGTTAGAATTAAGCGAAGTTCAAATTAGCATGCGGCCCCAAAATTGAACAGACACTGCACCACAATGCGTGGACAGAACCCTCTGAAGCCACGTTTACACTTGCTGTTAAGAATGAAGTTTATGAAGAATGAGCAAAGCACTCACCATCAGGTATGCCTGCTCCTTTTCCAGCATCTTCTTGATTGTCAGGTACGAGATGTTTGTGCATTGTTGTTGCTTTTCAGGCTGCAAAAAGAGAAGGGCCTCCTTTGTCGGCACACTTACACAATCCACGAAACGCAATGAGTTCTTTCCAAGCCGGTGCAAGCAGTCTTCTACATTTTCAATAAAATACTGAGTAATTTTGCATCTGCCTCAATTTAAAATATCATTGTTATAAATCTTCATTAAAGCACTCAAATGAGCACAAGTGTGAAAACATAGGCAATTGAAAGTTTCTTTTTGTCACGTAAATGGTATTCTAGTGGCTTAGCATGAAGGCAAGTTATAGACAAAGCACAGTATTGAGAGATTTATTTTGTCAAAGCCAGTTCTGTTAACCCTTCTCCCCCCCTTCCACCCACATACATTTTGAAGTAAAAAGCAAGAAAAGGACAGAGAAGACACGATTACGTGTTCCTCCTCCTAGCGCACCGAACCATTTTTTTTATTCTTCCCCATTTTCTTTTTTTTTTTTCACACTTCACTTAAAAATAGGAGTACACCAACTTATCCAGTTTGTTCTGTTTATGTACCACTGTGCCCTTAATCAGCAACTGCATTTTGTTGTAGACATGTAGTATAATGTTGAAATGCATGTGCCACAATCAAGCTTTCAAATCTTGAACCCAACAGTGACAGATTCATTTAGTTGAAGTCGGTTGTGTCAGTGGCTTTTGCTCAAATAAATAACAGTTTCCTTATTTTGAGCTTACTAATTTGATGCTTACTAAAAATTTGATGCTTACTAAAAAAACTAGTAACAGAAGGATGCACTTTGAGCACTATCTGACCAATAAAGATTGCCACGTTAAACTCGCTGGGTGTAACCTCCTTGGTTCTAGCAAGGTTTAGCGAGGGTTGGGCCGCAGCGCCATGAACTAGCGGCGGTGAAAGGTGGGAACTAGACATGAAGCGCAGGTCCTAAGAGTGTGCACGCGTGCAGCTCCTCTAGTCCGGCTGTGCCTCCTCTCGTTTAGCTCTTGGAATGTTCACTGTATGGCGGTTTCAATATGATGAATATATGATGTAAAGATAGGAGATGGCGGCACTTGGAGTATTCACTAGATGGACAGACAGATGAACAGATGCTTGCACGGACGGACGGACAGACGCATGAACAGATGGACAGACGGACAACACACGAACAGACGGAAGCAAGAACGAGCGGACGGACTGATGGATGTTTTGCCCCACTCATCATCATGCACTCAGCGGATATGCTGTGATTTTTTTTTCCCGTTCCTAAGAGCGCATCAGGCATGCCTGTTTTTCGAAGTAAACACGATGCCCCCCTGGCGTCCATTGGTTCGTGTAATGTCTCAAACTCCATTTTAGTGTTTCAAATAAATTATACTTCAAACGCCACATTGAAATGTATGCTGAACACTCAAAATGTCTCTTTCCCTTTAAGGTTTCTTTTTTTTAATATAATTTGCTTTTCTAAATGCATTAAAACTGTGAACAAGCAAAACCAAAACCAGAATTGAAATCAGCTGCAAGTTGCCATAACGTGGCTGCGTCGAAGCGCCACTTCGATAGCCTTCATTCCACTGCCCAGATGATCTGCCTCCAAGTATAGACTGATGGACTTTATGAGATGACTCATTTGAGGGCTGGCTTATAATATCCACCTCCTGAGTACAAAAGATTTTGCTGTATACCAACCATATGCAGCATTTGTGGCTACAAATTGAGCCTTGCTCTGAGTAGCACGTTCACCCAACCACTCAGCCAACGATATGTGTTTAAGTAAACGGTTTACTACACACTTCTTTAACAAAGCATTTGTTGCATGCTTGAACTGGTGAACAAAGGTTGCTGCAAACAATGGCTGTACTCCTTACCCAAAACTGAGAAGTATAGCGTAGTTAAATTAAGAGGCTTGAAATATGTGCCACCCTTTCATCCAAGAAATACCCTATTACTTTAACACTTATGTATCGGAGCAGGAACAGTGAAACATACATCAACCGGTTGGGGCCCAGTGATACGTTCTGAAGACTGTTTCGAAACTAGCGGCTGGTGGCTGGGGGGTGAGGCTGCAGGTGCCGTGCTGGTGGTTCCACCACTGCCAGTGTTGTTTGGCCGCTCACCACCACCCGCACCAGTAGAAGGTGGTCCAAGCAAGGTGAGTGCCACGTGTGCTCCCGACTTGATAAGATGCACTACGTCCTGGTGGTTGGACTGTGTCACCAACGTCCCATTGACTTTGATGATACGGTCACCTTGGTGAACACCCGCCCGTGCCGCTGCCCCACCTGCACACAAATACACACATTAAAGGGTAAAGTTCCTTTTACAAGCTACAGCTTTGCTGTGCAGTAACGTTATTCAGGTTAATACAATAACTGTACATTGCCAGAGTAAAAGATCTGCTGCTACGAACACTGTGGCTAAACTGAAGTACTTACTGTATGTGTGTCTTTGAGCGGATCCAGTTTATACAACTTTTAGGTAGCAGCGATAATGATAAAAATCTAAAAGAAATGCACAATGGAAGTACGATTGAAACTGTGCAACAGGATCCTATGTGACAATTGTATAAGGCAACCTGTTCCATTGCACTAACATTCTGGAAAAAAAAAAAAGATGTGCAGACGTGCTATATATGTTAGAAGCACAACTAGCCATATTATTTCTTAAGGTGAAAAGCACGCACATGCTAAATGCCGAACTGATCAAGCACAATTAAAATGAATGGCTGAATAACAGTCGAATAATGCAGCGAGGGAGCTCACCTGGCTTGACAGACTGCACGAAAACAGGGTTATCGCCTGAGACAGTCAGACCATAGCCCTTCTCATCCCGCCGCACGATCAGGCACCGTTGAACCAGCAGAACACCTGCATAAACACACAGGAATATGAACCATTAAATAAGTCCCAACACAAACATTCAAACACACATCTGCTGCTACATCCCACTAATGGGAGCACATATGCATCATCTGTACAATATCTGCTTCAAATGCAGCATAAAGCATATTTTGATAAAGTTTCAATGTTTGTGAAAGCACTGGATAGGAATGTGAAGCCCAGAGGAATGCATCACGCAGGTACCCTTACAAAGTTTAGATTTCACCGGTTAATCGGAGCCAACGCAGGAGCGATACCTGATGATGCAGAGCTAAACAAGAGAACAACAAATGTAACACTGCAGCAACTTGTCCACTTACCGGCTCTGTTTAATGCATTGACAGTAAGATGAATCATTAGCTCAGAGTAATCTCATTATTTCTCTTCGACAACACACTGATACAATTAAAAGAGAAAAGTTATAATACACTGTAGTTGTACAAAACGCCACAAGATGTCGCTACAAGCTCACTGCTATCATCAATGGCTTCAGTAACTGGGTGTCTGCAAACAAGCTCATGGACAAATCTACCCCAATATTGTTGCACAAGCTAGAGCTTCCTGCTGCCAGAATTATCCAGGCTGTGGAGAGATAACTACTTCAGCACTCCCCATCACACAGCATCGTCTGCATCGTCATACAAGATCAGTGGAGTTTTACATTCCGTTGAATGAAAACAGCCATGTGTGCCATACACATGTGAAATTTGTACACCTTTAGAACTCAAACTCAGCATAGCCCAATCTAAGTACAAGTCAGCACAGTGTTACACCATGCCACTTACACATATTACCTATTACACAAACTATTACAGAGTGCACAAAAGCAGCCAAACATTTTGCAGGAAAATGATGTAAACAGCTATTTGAGTAGCCGATGTGTCCAATCTAAATCTAGCACCAAATTTGCAATGTCATTGCTTCAATCTTCACTTCTCAACAAGATGCTTTACAAAATTTTGAAACAACAAGGGTTCAGCACTTTTGACAGTGCAGCAAGTTAGGCAACGAACATGACAAAAACAAAACTTCAGCTGCCGGCAAGACTCTAACCGATATTTATACACTTTTTGGCTTCTTTAAAGGGCTACTCACCAGACACCATACAAAATTTTAGTTAGACAGTGGAAATTGTTGGCTGTCTGATCAGGAACATTTTCTCACAAAATTTTTTTGAGTCAGTTCATTCCGAGCTGAGAAAACAGTTTTTTTGAAGCGGCGCGAAACGAGGATGAGAGGAGGCGAGCTCGAAACCCTTGCCGCTGCTCTGCATAGCCTTCGTAAGCCAAATCTCTTCCCTGCCCTCCCCGGCATGCGACCAAAAGGTCACGTGCGTATGACATGCCCGAATAAGCCCAACCCCTGTGCGCGCGAGCGGCGTTTTTTTTTTTTTGACCAGCGTTGTTTTGAAGTCTACTAATTGTGTCTGTGGGCTGGTTTAGAAACGCTGGATTAGACGCGGTAGAATAGATGAGCACAATGAGTGTGTGGACGCGTAGGAGCATTCCACGGCTGTCTGCTCTATGCGCTGACCGCAAAATCGCTGGGACACAAACGCATGCAAAACGCTGGCACATTAGCTCCGCATTTCGTTGCAATTCACGGGGGAAAAAATGAAAAAAAAATTACTCACATTTCCTTATTGCATCTCATTATTTATCTAGAGATTTATTAATCTATTGAAGTAACAAATATATAAACTATGCATGTTCTGTTAAATAATTTTCGCGATGTCATGTGCCACTATTGGCAACGTCAGAACATAGCCGTCTATGAGAGGACCAACGTCACTGCATTGCCGTGTATGTAGGGCCATTCATACATGCACGCCATGCCCTCACTCTCTGGGCGCGTGCCCGCAAAAGGAAAGGGGAGCAGCGTTCAGCTTAAAATTTAACCCATTTACACGGCGCGTAGCGTTGCAAATTTTGGCAGGCGTGATCATGAATGCCTCATCTACGCATTGCGTTTGTCAGCTCAAGACTGTCAAACCTGGTGAGTGGCCCTTTAACAATCACCATGATAAGTAAGTGCCGCGGTTTGACAATCAAAGAAACAAGCAGTCGCAGTGCTCAACATAGCAGAATTTCGTCTGTTTGCTGAGCACTGCAACTTAGCACACTGACATGGCAGCACTTACAACATGGCACAAGATGTGTTACATTCGGCACCAGTACCAAGAGGGAGCGGCATTCTCTGTCTTTGGAACAATGCTTAGAAGGGCTGCTTGCCAGCCGACAGTCGTTCAAGCAGGTGCATTACCCTGCCGAACTGGTGTGTGAGGTGCCAAAGAGCCCAACACAGCATGGTGATACTAGACGACAGTAATGGTTGGCACACCACCCTTGAGCAGACAACAGCATCAGCACGGACGATGACCCATTCCAGCTAAACAAGCAATTACATACTTCCAGATGGCGAAGCCTTTGAAGCACTCAGTTGTCCACATGTGCGCCCCAACACCCTACAGCCTTCATGCATCAAGGATGAACTCACTTGACGCCACATGCAGAGAGTCTGGTGGCTGCGCCCTAAGCGAAGACACTGACCTGGGCGGGTGGGAGCGGCACCCTTGACAGCGCTGTATATAATGTGATTAGACCATACCAACCAACTTGAAGCATTAAATGCAAACATTTTGACAGAAGTCGGTCTGGCTGGGTGGAAGATTAAGGAAGTGGAATTACCTCCAGCCACACTCTTGCACAAAACCTGACGTTTTCAGATGAGTCACATAATGGCCAGGAAAGCGTCGACGTGCTTCCCTGACCATGAGAGAAGAAGAGAGGGCCAAAACTAAGCTTCGAAAGAACGTATGCACAGCAGCTTTCATTCACCTTGTGGCACATCATATGTCGAGAAATCAACCACCTCTTCACAAAGACTCCTGTGAACGACGCATACAACCCCCCTCCCACACTGGCCACACCACCAGTTACAATGGGAACAAAAGAGAAGCCCAAAGAGTCATCAAACCGTCTGTTCCAGGAACTAGTGAGCAGCTCACCAGAGTCCTCAGAAAAGCTGGAGTCAAGGTAGTTCGTAAGCCGGCTTCAAAGCTTGCATGCTTATTACCTTGGCTGAAAGATCGACGATTCAGGGAGAAACATCAGGGCGCTGTATACAAAGTGATGATGATGATGTTTGAAGTTTTGTGGCGCAAGGGCCATTTCACGGCCAAAGAGCGCCCGTTCATGTTACTAAGAATATGGACAATGATTGTGATAATGATAAGCGGCTGTATAAGGGCCATAAAATTCCTCGCGGTAAGGCGGGTAAAAACATACAAGTAATAAAATCATGACCATGCCGTGAAAGGTGTGTGTGGTGAGGATAGATGACAAGAGTTGGTGATTATAAAAAACGATGGTGGATATGAATGGCATTAGCACAAGTGCCTCACTCGTTCATACCCTTGCGTCCAAGGGCCGTGAGGCAAGTGCTTTCTTGTCTAACCGCCGCAGCAAAAACCTCTCTAGAGAGGTCGTGCTACGGAATGCCCGGGTGTATGATATGAAAATTATTAATTTCTTTTAAAAACGCTAACAATGATTTATGACTAAAAAGCGGTTCCCTACCAACGAACATTGCAGGGTGTAAAGGTATATGTTGTCGGTAGGGTAATGTAAAATGTTGTTTTCTTATAGTTTCTAAGTGTTTACACTGGATTAACATGTGAAGGACGGTTAATGGTTCACCACATCTGTCACACAATGGTGGATCGCCACCAGACAAAAGATATGTGTGTGTCGTGTATGTGTGTCCTATCCTGAGTCTCGTTAGTATTACCTCTGTATGACGCGATTTCGATACAGGCAGCCAATGACCAAGGTGTGGCTTAATAATGTGTAGTTTGTTTTGTGTGTGTGTATCCCACTTGCTCTGCCAGTAGTCCCGGAGGTTTCGTTTGAGAGACGGCTTAAGATCAAGGGCCGGGATTGATATGGATGTAATGGCGGTGCTCTCATGGACGGATGCAGCGAGCTGATCCGCCCTCACGTTGCCTTGGATCTCACGGTGCCCTGGCACCCAGCACACTACAACATGTTGTTTGAGTGTGTAGAGTGTGCACAAAATGGAGTAAAGTGAGACAAGGACCGGGTTTTTTTGTTTTTTAAGACTGTGCAGAGCTGTTACCACACTGAGGGAGTCTGTATAAATTACCGCTTTTTGTATTTGTAATTGTTTGATGTGTTTAGCTGCCACAAGTATCGCGTAAGCTTCCGCTGTGAAGATACTTGTGCGTGGATGTAGAGGGCCAGCATCCGAAAAGGATGGGCCGACAGCAGCGTAGGACACAGAGGAGTTAGTCTTGGAGGCATCTGTGAAGAACTCAGGACGTGTGTATTTGTGTTGAAGTTCCAAAAAGTATGTTTGGATATGGGCAATAGGTGCATGTTTTGTAACTTCTAGTAAAGACACATCGCAGTCTATAGTCTGCCACTGCCATGGTGGCGGGTATGCTACAGGAGCCATTAAACTGTGTCCAAGTGACACTGCAGTTTCTTCAGCTAGACACTTCAGGCGAACTGAGAAGGGCTGCCTCATCGAAGGCCTGTTTTGAAACAGGGTTGAGCTCGACAAATCATTAATTGTAGAGTATGAGGGGTGCTCCTTGTCTGCTTTCACCTTAAGGAAATAAACAAAGGACATGTAAGTTCTCTGCAGATGAAGCGACCACTCATTTGACTCAACATAAAGGCTTTCTACGGGGCTGGTGCGAAAAGCACCCGTAGAAAGGCGGATGCCCAAATGGTGCACGGGGTCCAGCATCTTCAAGGCACTTTGAGCAGCAGGCTGATAGACAACGGCCCCATAATCTAAGCGGGTGCAAATGAGGCTTCTATAGAGGTTCATGAGGCATTGCCTATCACTACCCCACGTAGTACATGACAACACTTTTATAACATTCATGCCTTTTAAACATTTTGTTTTTAAATACTTGATGTACGGTACGAAGGTCAACTTGTTGTCCAAGATTAAGCCTA